TATGATTGCAAGGGGAATTGTTGTTTTTGTTTGCAAGCCATTGGCTGTTTAATGCGATTTCCCCGGCTCATCTTTACGATATATAATATTCTTGTATTTTATTAAATCAATCAATCAATTGAACTGAATTGAAAAAATTCAAATACTCCACACGGACACGGTAATGAGACATCTAAATTCATGAATATCTACAGAAGCTGGAATCAAATGAACCCCACAACGGGTATAAAAGATATAAATTACATCTACGCTAAATTGCACGGTTTAGTAAAATGGCGTAGCTAGGCGGGGGCTTGACACTCGTGTACGCCTCAATCGTATGGCGCTAAATGAGAAAGAACATGAGAAAATTAGAAAGATACAGGGAGAGAGAGAGAGAGAGAGAGAGAGGAAGGGGAAAAACCTGAACAGAAGATGAAACCACACCTTCCACCCCCTCTACTCGATTGCTTTATTGATTCGTATTTTATCCTACCAATAAGACACAATCCATGCTAACCCCCCCCCCCCACCCCCACCCTGGTACCCCCATGTAGGCTACTGTGTCTGGATCCATGTACGCTATGCCACTGTTAGTGCCCTTCAAGCTTAATGATGAAAAATTCGATCTGTTGAACATGGACCCTGGTATTTTTTTGTCCACAATCGGTCGTGGCAATAGAGATCAGTATATAGCCCTGGTAAAGGATATGGGTTTATTGTGCGGTAATTAAGTTGTCGAATGTTGCAGATGCATGATTGATTCGAATGACAAGAGCTGAAGCAAATATAATTCTAAAGAAAATTATGAAGCTATGTTTATCTTGATTCTTTGCTCTTCTCACAATTAAAGATACATTCCGAAAAATTGATTGCTTCAAATGTTGGTGCAATGGTGGCAACATCGATATGAAAATCTTTGATAATGCAACTATTGTGATACTTTTGATTTTAGAGGAAAGTCCTTCCGTCGTAAGAGTATATTTCCTAGAATTCTGATTGAAAATGTTCAACATACTCCATTTGTATCACTTGTTTTTAAACTTAAGTTTTTAACTATGATAATAATCAATGAACAATAAATATTCAAGTACCACCACGACGTCAAAATAGATACAATACCATGACAATTTGATGATATTAACTATTGTACTAAAATTCTATTGAATAGTATAATGCAAGATGAGATTAAGCAGTAATTTTTCCTTGATTAAGGTTGTTGATGTTGTATAGCTTATGATTATTATGTCCATATTCACATCATCATCATCGCCAAAAAACATCCAACCATTCGTCGATTGGTGGCGGTATTTCTTGTTAAACAGCCAATGAATGTTTCATGCTGTACTAGTATGATCTCCTCTCAAAGGTGCGCTCAGCAATATTATTTACCAGCAGTTGAAACCGATTCTGGACTTAATTAATGCCCCATCTCTTGTGATACCACTTGTATTATTTTTCCGTATTCGTCTTAGTGTTATTAGTGCAAGACCTGGGAATGATAAACGGAATGTATTTGCAAAACGTTCCATAAAGGGTTAATTTAGACTGTGAATCAGTGTAGTGGAATAAAGCCTATAGTAAAACAGTTTCTTCCTCGTTGGGGACCCGGGCCTGCGGAAAAATAAACAATATTCTAGAAACGTGTCTTTGGGATTTTTTTTCAATACAAATTGGCCTTTTACAAATTAGGCCTACTTTCTATCAAATTATTGACAACGAAAGTAAATATATCCTCTAATCAATTCCCTATATTCTTTTATGCCATTAGATGGATACCTTCGAAAATGAATTTTAAAATACCAGAATTATTTTAGCTCAGCTTAATTCGATCATTGTGTATTCCAAAAGAAGTTAATTAAATATGGGTGTCATGAAAGATGGTCTGATTAATTTTCTTTTTTTCATTTCCTGAAGTGACGAATCGACAACATTATGGTTTTAATAAATCGCAGAACGAAACGATCATCATGCTCACGAAATTTTTCTCTCGAAATGTTATTCTCATGCCATGCAAACAGTTGGCCATCGTCTGTCACGTTTGAAGAAGATCACTGATATAATGAGCGGAACATGTCGTCATCGACTCCTGATTCGGATCGGTTCTTTGACTTTGTAGTTCTTTACTCTCGTCACCTAGCAAACCGACTCATATACAGACCGTGCAGTAACCAATAGGTGTGAATATTGGCAGCGCGCTATCTTTTGTGGGACTTGACAAAAGATAGCACACATTTTGACGCCAATTCCGTGCTAACCCAATTAATGAAATGCAGACTTCCTTCCCGACCAATAACCGCCCATACCAGATGAATATGAATGGCCTTTATTATATATACTGACAGTCATGTTATGATAATCAATATCATGATCAAAAGGAAAAACTTAAAAGCCTCATATCAACATTTTTTTTTTAAAGCCATCGATGTTGTGAGAAAATGATTTGGGTAAATGTGGCATACATACTCGTCTCCATGGTAACACAGTGGAGAGACAGGAAACGAACTGGCATCATTCCAATAAAGATGCAAGCCATTTAATTAACATCAAATAATTTTTGTAACATTGATGAGAAGGAGGAGGAAAATAAGAAGAAGGAAAAGAAGAAGAACTTGAAGGAGAAGAAGAAGGAGAAGAAGAAGGAGAAGAAGAAGGAGAAGAAGGAGAAGAAGAAAGAGAAGAAGAAGGAGAAGAAGAAGAAGAAGAAGAAGAAGAAGAAGAAGAAGAAGAGGGGGAGGAGGAGGAGGAGGAGGAGAAGGATGAGGAGGAACTAAGAGAAAAGGATGACTGAATAAAGAACGAGTGAGAGAGAGGGAGAGTGCGAGATAGAAAGAGAGAGAGAGAGAGTGAGAGAGAAAGAGAAGGAGAGGGGGAGGGGGAGCTAGGATAAAATTTGAAAAATAAGGGGGAGAGATCTGGTAATCGCTGGCTACCTCTGGCGATAGATGGCAGTATTTAGAATGATCGCAAATGGCAAATGCACCTTTGCTTTGAGTTTTGTTACTCAAGCTAGTAGAACTTTTGTTGAGAAGAGAACTTGGCAAATCATATTAATAATGACTCGATGTGTTATGTTCCTTTTTTTGTTTTCTATGGAAAAAAAATCAATTCGAAACCAAGTCGATGCGCTAGTGCCCTTTGGCAAGGCATTAATCCTCTCTACCAGGTCCCTCGGAGAGGACCTAAAGCCGTCGGCCGTCTGGTTGCTTACTTACTGTACAAGCATTTATGCTTTCTTAGCAGTCAGGTAAAATAACCATCACATCCATCCAAACTTAGCTTTTTGAAAATGCTAAATACCACTGGTTACTTTGGCCACTTTGAAAGCTCGTCACTACACAGAAACACAATCTACAAAATTATACTGTTCAGTTTCTCAAACTGCCATTTTTTAGCTATTATTCTGGCAAGTGTAGTCATTCTCTGTTCTATACAGCGTAGGCCTACACGGAGCTACTTTTGGCATTCATCTAATGCTACGGTCACAAAGGTTCGTACGAACGATAATTTCGTACGAATCACCCTGTTTTTCCATTGTCTTCCCGAATTACCATTGTCTGAAAATCGTTCGTACGGCGTTCGTAGCAGTTCGTAATGGCATTTAATAATAATAATATTGGAGTCTTATATAGCGCACGTATCGACCTTGCAAGGTCCTCAAGACGCTCCAACATTACCCGGCTATGCTAGGCTGCCGATTTCGACGCTCACAGCATTTTAAGGAATTCCTTCCTACCGGTACCCATTTAACACCTGGGTGGAGAGTGGCAAATGTAGATCAATGTCTTACCAAAGGACATTAGTGCCACGGCGGGACTCGAAACGCGGACCTTGTGATCGACAGTCTGGCGACGTATCCACTCATCCATGACATTTGTGACCGAGGCTTAAGATGTCAGATTCTTTCACGCGCAAGTCTGTTTTTATAACTCCATTATTGTTTAACCTATCGTTGTGGTGGCAATAATATTTTCTAGCAATAATTTTGATTTTATTAGTTCAATTTAGTACTTAGGTATATAGAGAGAAATGGGGATCCCTTAGGATGACGAAAGCATTTGTGATAGGAATTGCCTATGCCCTCATGACGGTGACCATAATTATGATAGGAATCAAAGAGATACCAGCTATCTCTCTGTAGGAATACTCCTCACTGTGAGTGGAGATGGTGCACATTGTGCGTGAATGAATCCGATGACCGGGGTCAAGTGTGCGTTTATAAACGGTATTCCGTATTAAACGCTATATAAATCCAGATTATTATTATTATTATTATTATTTCTATTAATGGAATTATATACCAGATGAAGTTCAATGTACAGCCAGTGACTATACTAGTATATCAAAGTGCCTGTACTTTATTATGTAGAATTTCTAGAGGGAAAGTCGCATGTAGGAAAGAACATTTGCCAATGAAATTGTGAACAGATAATGGGTTAAGTCCCCTAATATTTTAAGTTAAAAAATCTTCAGAAAGCGACAAACAAAGATTAACAGCGCTATCAGGGTTAACATGCCCAAAATAAATAAATATATAATTATATATATATATATATATTATATAGATATATATATATATTTTTTTTTGGGGGGGGGGGGGAGGGTCTTAACTCTGCTATATCCATCGGTAAATCCTTCAAGGTGTTTCAGGGGCGAATCTATACTAGCTGCATGTCAGGAGCAGCAGGGGGCGGGGTGATTTAGGGCGGGGCGGGGCGGGGCGGGGCGATCCGTTATAATGGCCGGCGAGTTCGGGGTTCGGGAATCCCCCTGGCCCAGGTTCCAGGAGAGTTATGCCGTATTTCATAATGAACCATTTCTATTTTGAAAGTGAAGTCTGAGTCACTTTCATAGTTTCAAACTACAACATAAATTATCATAATAATTTATCACTACATGGCTGTATTTGGATAATTGCGGGATCATACAAAAATTTCAAAGACATGACTTGTGCACAAATGAAAGCTTTTCATACTTGCATGCAAAATTAAAGCGCAAACCGGTGCATATGCGCATGTGCGTGCACAATTATTGTTGACATTAATTTCCTAGTGCAGGTCCAGTTTGCTTGCGACCGTCCCCAGTGTGTTCTACTTCTCCTAAACAAGACAGTGTTCAATTCATTAGTTTACTGTTTTCCAGAGACTAAATAGACTTTTGCCCATCACCATGGCTCAGAAGAAGGTAACCATCGAATACTGGTAAGTTATCATGGAAATTATGCGATTCTCAGAGCAGGCATACAGTACCGTCCAGTACCGGATAACTCCCCCGCTCGATTCCAGTAAATTTCGCCGAGTCATTTGCGGCAGCGAGCTGCGGTTGTTGATTCTCCGGCAGCGCTCGCCACAACAAAAGTTGCGTGCGAGAAACTAGCGCAGGCGCGGCAGCAACGCCCGGTCTTTTGTCGTTGCAGTGTTAGCCAATCACAGAACAATATTATAATCATGCGGCAGCAACTCGGCAGTCATGTGATGCCATTTTATTGTAAGCAATATGGCGGCGAATCAGCACTCTCACGAAGACTCCCTAGGTTGGACAAGGCAGAAATTGGTGGAATTGGTTGAGACATACCAGAATAGACCATGCCTGTATGACAACACAAGTCCTGGCTACCACAACAGAGAGGAAAGATCAAGATCATGGATTGAAATAGCTGATCTCATGGGCAATCAAGGTGAGTCTATTCATTGACATTGTGTCAGAATGATTGGAGTAAGGTATGGTCATGTGCTTGGTAGTTTTGTAGGGGATTTATAAATCATAAGATCTGTGCTAATTTTTATAATTTAATGAAAGGTGGTCATCAACCAAATATGAGTTCTATAAAACAACTTGGGTTGTTTTATAAAACATAAAATCAATTCGCGCTCGATGACAGTAGTATCTTTGTCTACGGCACGACCTTTCCGTTTCACAAAACCATGATAAGCGACAAATCCATGATACTTTCAACTAAAAAATATAGTCTTTCGATCTCTGGCACTTGCATAAAATTGTGTTTAAAGGTAAAGACCAGTTCTGGTCATGCGATTGCATTGTGAAAGAAAGGTTGTGGAATCGATCGGAAAAGGTTGATCATCTAGCATATAAGTATTGGTGTGTACTGGAATCATCAAAATGATAAGAAATTTTGCTCAGTCTTTAAGCACTGTACAGAGAAAGATGTACATGTATATATGGGACTACGCAACACATGCGCGATATCTATCCGGATAGATATAATAATTTACCAAATATATCACTTTGTAGGCGATTTTCTGGCAAAATTTGTATCGTCACGTAATATTCAAAACATTCTTTCACATGATTGGTAATCAGAGCTTCCATTTCATTTTTTGAGAGGGGGGCGTTTCCAAAACTGGTCTTTACCTTTAAAATTGGTCTACAGGTAAATGCAAGTTTTTGCACAAAAGGGTTTCTGAAAATTTTGATCATGATCATTATGCTCCTACACTACGAACTAATGTTTTTTGTATATATCAATCGTAGTGTTATGCATCTCAATTGTGCAATGTAAGTTTCTCCAAATACATGTAGGTTTAATTATGAAATTAATTAATGTCAAGACATAGCATTTAAAGTAAGTAAGGCATAGGTTTGTAGTTGTGTACTAAATTATTTCTTTAAAAAATACCATTTTCCAAATAATAAAGACATACTTTTACTATTAAATAGAGGTAAATTAGAAATTGCACACAAAAGAAGAGCTTTAAAAAAGTGTTCATTTTTACCTTTAAAAAAATACACATGTCAAAATATTTTAATGTATAAATAGTGTATTTATCCGCAAGAAAGTACTGAAACTCGAGATGAAAACAAGGTCATCTAATGCCTCTATACTTTTGAATATCAATGTGAAATGGGAATGTCATGAAGAAAGAAGAACAAGTGTGTACATGATGATAGCCCTTCAGTTTTATCCAAAGCAAACTGTGAATTGAGAAGGGTGAAACATGATCCTTGAAACGTCAGGGTTTAAACCGATATCTTTCAGTTCAACATTGAGTTTAGAATTGCTTGAAGGATATTTTTCATAGTAGATGCACAATTAAATGTATTGATGTGTTTTGTTTTCAGAGGATGAAATCCGAGCTAAGATGAAGAGCATCCGTACCCAGTATGCCCGCATCATTCAGAAAGGACAACACCCCAAGTGTAAAACTGGTCACACCGTCTCCTCGTGGTGGTTACTTCCTAATCTGAATTTCTTAGATGACTTCATCATTCCACGGAAGGCTGACTCCGAGTCAATCAAGGTACCCATTTTTGTTCTTGTCCATTTTATGGTACTTTTATCTTACACCGTTATTTGTGTTTGTGGAAAAGAAATGTTGAGGAGTTTTTATGTTACAGCACACAAATGACCCAACATGTACTCATCACTTGCAATACGTTTTGCGTATATATGCATGAGAAAAACAGTTTAAAAATGTATATCATGACAGGTCCTACTGTATGTCAGAATACAATTAAGAAACTAGTTACAACAATTTAAAAAGTGGTAAAATATATTATACATGTACCATTCAACATTTACCATTTCCACCATTTAGTGCAACTGGTAGGTTGAACGTGATTTCTAATCATATTTCTTAATTCTTATCTTGATTTTTTATTCTTCAAACTTTCAATTGGCTGTTTCATAATTTGTCTTCTTTTACCCATAAAAACTTGAAATAAAGAGAAGGTTTCCATTAGTCTCAACCAAATTGAAACCATGCATTCAATGATTCAACAGTACAGCACACTTACTTTGACAAAACTTGATAGATAATGTGCCAAGTTAGCTTGTAGTTTCATTATATTTCACTTTTTTGTTAAATGGAACAAAGTAAAACATTAAAATAGTACAGAGGCGAAGGGATCGATAGATATTTTAACTCTTTTGTAACAAGTTTGTTTGGTAATTGCATGATACAACTATTGTAAGTGAACATGTGACAATGTTTACTCTACTAATGAAACTCTTTGTATGATTATAATTTTGTTGTTGTCAGGAAAATGACATTGCAGAGTTGTCTCTACTGAGTCAAGTGAGAGATGTTGGACGCACTTACAAGGAAGACAGTAATTCATTGGAGAATGGTGATGTCGCTGAAATGATGTATGACAGCATGATTCCAGATTCTGACTTTCCACAACCTCAAAGCACTTCACGAAACAACCCCGGACAGTCGAACCAGCTCGAGGAGCATGTATCTGTTCGAGAATCCTCGCCTTACCAGTCACCGTTCACTCAACGCATTTCGCCCATATCGATATCACGTCCGTCCATCACCCAGTATCGTAGCGCCAGATCGAAGGTGCGTAAACCATTTAAGAAACTAAAGAGAGATCAAACGGCCATCAGCCTACCGTCTGGATCTACTTCCAACGCTTCAAAGCCTCCTGATGCTGCTGAGCAGGGCAATGACAAATTACTCTTAAAAGCAGTCCTTACGTACGCAGAGAAGACCACCCGAGATGACGATGAAGATGCAGTCTTTGGGCGCTACGTTGGCAATGAGATGAGAAGTGTTACCGATTTACAGGCAAAGAGAATTGCTAAGATGAGAATTCAGAAAGTTCTCTTCGAGGCCCAGACCGGCTGGACCGAGACTTCAAATGAAGGGGTTTATCATGCCCCCCGGGACGGAACAACTACACAAGATAACTTTCCTGTAGGGGTTGTTTGCAGTACCAATAACAGTAGAGTTATCTGAGTAAAATTAGACAACCTGAATTTATTATTTTAGGAAGACAATCTCTAGAGTTTAGTAGCTTCTTGCCATATCTATGGATTTTATGAATTCTTTTTGATTTTTTTTTCATATAAATTTAGAGCATATAGTTGGTAGAGGTACTGCTGTGAGATTGTTAATGATGTACTGCTAAAAGAACCTTTTTTCGTCCCAGAAAAGTTTATGTAGTATGTACCCTACCTTTACCATTTATAATTGGTTAACTACATGAGCTTGTTAGAGATTTAATTAGTATTCACTTGTTTATTATGTCGAATTTGTGAGGGGAAAGAATTTAACTGATTGACTGAGCATAGCCCTTCCATTTCTGCCTTTGGTGTAGGAAACTATTCTCTGGGTGATATACTTAAAGTGCACTTCATGAGTTTAGACATTAATATCTTTATTATAAGAGAATAGAGATAAACATTGTCAGAAGGAATAAAGACGTGCTGCAGCAGGGCTCTACACTAAGTTTTTCCCACAGTGTCCTTAGTCATTTTTGTTTATCCCCCCCCCCCCCCCCCCGATTTAAATGTCAAAACAGTGGGTTTCTGAAATTTATGTTTTTGGGGGTCCATGTGTACCTTATCCCTGTTACTGTCTATCCCAGGCTAAGGTTCAGTATACATGTTAAACATTTAGAGAGTTAGGAATCAAGACTTAATCCTGGAACATTATTCTTTCAATCGTCAAACCTTTCAGGCAGCCTTTCCGGGAGTGTATGATTGAATTGTAGGAGGGTAAATAGTAGGGTTTTGTGACAAGCATTTTTTTTCTGTTACAGGTGACCCTTCTTCAAGAATTACATTGCAGTATTTGATAGCTTTATATTTTGTCCAAAGTATATTTGCAAGTAAAATAAAGTAAACAATTCCAAAGGTCCAAGATTATTGATGGCTATGTCTATTTATTGTTTTTCTTCCAAGTACGATGTATGTACAGTACACTGTAAGTCGAAAGCCTCCGTTTCTCCTGGACAATTATTAACCAAATTGAAATTACACAACACCAAGTATGCTCAATATTGGATTTATATTGAGTTCAAACTTGTGATAATTGTGGATTTCTAAAAGGTGCGTTCTTGATGTGTTGTCACTGTCATACCATGCCATGTACATGTACATGTACACTACATTATCAGATACATACACTGTACATGTATGGACCATCTTCTTCGGCACAACTCCAAATTGTATCATTTACTAGTTCCATTTGTTTTCAAACAAAAGGGATCTAATGCAATGTTACATGTCCAGCCTACACATTATGAGGTCTATGGGGAAACATACTTTATTAATATCAAAGTGCCATATTATTTATTTAGTGGTTACTTCCAGTTCCCCTACTATTGTACATAAAAATGCCCAATTAACATATTCTATCTATTAAGAGTATCTACCGTACATGTACTGTGCATGCACCGTACGTTGTAAAGCTAATGAGTAAATAAACTAGGGAGTCCCATGTTACCCTGTCAATTTTTTCAGGCACAGTTGGATGTTCAATCTTAAAATATTTAAAAAATCTTATATAAAAGCATTAACAAATATATATACAAACTATATGCAGTTATTATGCACAGATGTAATTGTATACAGTGTAAAGTTGAGGTGTAGAAGAACTACATGTACTCATGGACCTTTTTGTTTCCCAGTGAGTGGTACATGTTGCAACTTGTAAGGTTCATGTATTCTATGAATCACAAACATTCCACACCATTTATCTGTATACCAAATGGTATCCTGCTGTTGTGACTGTCTGGTTCATATATTGATTTCAACACTTTGCTGGCTGTGAAACAGGCAATATTACGTTGTATATTTATCACATATAAGTTGCACTTGATATTTGCTTCTGCAATTTCAAATATCATTATACTCCTTATGCATCTTTGAACAACCAAGCATTTACCCATGGAGACAAATATTTGACACCCTTGTACATGAACATGTATGAGGACTACCCCCAAATATTACATGATGACACAGAAAATATGTTAGTTGTGTAAATAAATATGTAGATTGATTTGAAAGTACTATGTCCCGACATTATTTTATATTGTGCGATACATTGATTAATTATGCACTTTGCCTCTATTATAATGAAAATAAAAGGAAATACAAATTACTTTCCAGACTGATGACTCTAGATTTGTTTATTTCATTCTTAAGATTGTGAGGTGTATTTTTTTTTTTTTTAGGTGGTTCATGTGACGTTCATTATTTTCTTCTTGAGGGATTGATGAGATTGATTGATTGATTTTTTTGTAAACAATATTAATCATACATTTTGGGTCAAATTGGTGAGAAAAAACCCAAGTAAAATAAGTAGTGATTAGGAATAAGGGGAAAATAAGAGATAGAGAAAGAGAGGGGGTGAGGTGGAATAAGAGGAAGAGAGGGAGAAGGGATGTAGAATAAGGGAGAGTGAGAGAGAGACATTTGGTATGAAGGAGAGACAGAGCTAGAGCCATTGAGGTGTTTTGTTAATGTAGGGAAAGGTACATATCTATACACAAATATTGAGCTTTGTAGAGTATGGTGAAAAGTAAATGAGAGGTTATTATACAAAACAAGGAATTAGTTTATAAAATATAAATTCTCTGGAGCAGGGAGCTTCAAAGCTCATTCATGAAAGGTCCCAATTGTAATAAACTCTATTAGTTGAGTTCTGGTCATACGATTGCACTGTGAAAGAAACATTGTGGAATCGATCTGAAAAGGTTGATCATCTAGCATACAATTATTGGTGTGTACTCAGACCTACAAACCAGTACGATTAAGTCGTATTTAGTACGATTTTTAGAAGCAAATACGACAGTACGATTTTCCTCAATACAATACAATTTTTAATTTTTTTTTTATTTTTAATAATAATTTTTTTGTTGTTAGTATTTTGTGTGTGTGTGTACCATTTTCTATGGAAAAATGCCCATTCTGTCATATAAAGCATCTCACATCGGCAATTTGGGGATGTTCATTGGTTCATCGAACACATCAGTCGTGACAAAATCATGCATATTCAACCAATGATCCATTTCTTCCTGTATGTAGACACTGTAAGAGATATTGATCCGTGTAACAGTCCATGTTTATTTTTAAGAATACAACTTTTGTCAGTAAAATACAACTTTTGGGATTAAAGAATACAGTTTTTAAACTCCAGAGGTTGGCAGGTCCGTGTACTGCAAGGTTCTGGAATCATCAACATTATAAGAAATTTGGCGAAGTCTTGGTAATGTTACATGAACTGTACACTGAAAGATGTATGGACTACACAGTGGCGTACGCAGGATTTTTTCACATTGTTTAACATTTTTAAATCGGGCAGAAAATTTCGCAACGACTCAGCCAGCCACTAAATAAGCAGGGGGGGGGGGGGTGAGGTCACCTTTTTAAGGTCATCCATTAGCATTTTTAGATTTAAAAAAAATCATTATTATTTATAAAAAAAGAGGGGGGGGGGGGTTTTCTCCAAAACACACACATACAAAAATGAAGGGGGGGGGGTCTCAATGAAAACTTTGGAAAGTGGGCAAAAATCAGGCACATTTTACTGATTTACATGAATTATTTCATTCATAATTTTCCTATCCAACAATTTCAAGCTTGGAAAAAAAGAAAACAAGTATTCTGACTAGAATTTTGAACGTTAAGGGCCCAGGTCACATGTTAATAATACTTCTCTCTCTCTCTCTCTCTCTCTCTCTCTCTCTCATCTCCCTCTTCCTCTCTCCCTCTACATTCTCTATTTCTCTTCTTTCCTCTTATACAGTGGTTCCTGAGGGTACTATCCGCGCTACCGAGAGCTGCACGAGATGATCGAGTCAGCAATCAAAGGCGTGGATGTTAGTGGCAAGCGGGGCAGACCTAGTAAGTAATGCATTTTTAGCTGGTGACTGACTGAACAATGTCTTGTATTTCACTTGAATTCTAGGCACTTGATGGTCTCTCATCTTTTTTTTATATAGAAAATGACATATGTAAATTAGATCAGGTTTGGTAGGTAGCTGCCAAATTTGCTGATCAATGCTATACATTATATAGCTAGGAGGACGTGTTGATAATATTTCTATCGGCAGTTCTTTCTATCAGCAACCCTTTAATTAAGGGGTTATGAAAGTTGTTATTGTTGACCAAAACTGCACAATAAAATCTTGACAATGAAAGCACTTCAGCATTTATGCCTGTTTTGAGAAGGATGAAATCTCTTCTAACTAGCTGCCATCAAAATACCAGTAATGGTTCTGATACAATGAGATGTGAGAAGATTAAACAGTCTGGTGGTGAAGAAAACACAGGCCTCATTCTCAAATGGGTGTCCGACAAGTAAAACAAGTATTGTACCTTAAAAAGAAACTCTTTCCAAGATTACGAGAGGGATGACAGTTCAGATTATATCTTCAGTCTACGCCTGGCGATGTCTTGTAAATGAGTTATGGTGATTTCAGATCATGTATTATATACTGTGTATGTTTGTCTCCATCATTGAAAATATCTTTACTTGTATTCCAGGTTCATTCGAGGTTAAGTTGAATGGCCAGGTCTTGTATTCCAAGCTCAAAAATGGAGGGTTTCCAGACTTAGATGCAGTAAGTGTGAACAAGAACACAAATGTTTCTTTTATAAGGTGTTTAGAATTTTTGATCAGTTATGGTAGTTTATATGATTAGTTTTGTAAGGAAAAGTGTGGTTCCTAATTGCCTGAAAAGAGATAAAGTAAATGTAAGCAGAGTTATTTCCTCCCCCCCCTCAAAAAAAAAAAAAAAAAAAAATTGAACAAACATTAGGAGGTTTGACATCAAGAGAAAGGGATGTATTAAACTTACTGAAAAGGCATTTAGTTTTAAAAGAATGTACAACTGAGATATAAATATTGAATAACCAACTGTGTTGCAAAATTGGAGCTGCAAAAGGTCTTTTTCATTTAGGATATTTTGGGTAGACAGAATGCCAAACAAGGAAGGCTTTACTTTGGCGTAGTATGAATACATGTAGATCCAAATGACCAGATGGAAAAATTGGACTGGTCAAAGTTTACATAACAAAAAGAGAAGGTGCAGAATAGAGGCTATGCAGTTGAAGAAAGAACAGAAAAAAGAGAAAGGCAGAGAGAACTACAGCACATTTAAAAATACAAACAGTTGACTGGTACATGTACCATAATCATAACCATAACAATAACCATAACCATAACCAGCATACTAAAAACAACCAGAGATATAAGCAGATAATCCGCCCTGATTATCCGCTAACAAGAGAAAACCTGCCATGTAAGTTTTTTGTTAAAACTATACATTTCAGTAGCTTTAAAACTTGATCACACACTGATCTAGCATGATTTCAAGAAGAATGACTTCCAAACATTTTCATAACACTCTTGAAAGTTGACCTCTTATACTGTTATCAACCTTTCTGATTGCTGCCCTCTCTTGTCATTATTTAAACACTTTATGTTCAAATGGGTGTATACACATACATATATCTCATTCATCTACTTGTTTAAATGCAGGTAGAAGTCTAATTGAATTTATATTATTGATTAATTGTCTCTATAGTATAAGACAGCAATTTCTTTCGTATCCCAAAATATCAATTACTATACTTTTCATACCCCCCCCTCCCCCTCTTTTTTATGATGTAGATTGTGGAAGCCATCGAGGACTACAAGGGTGAAGGCACTGTAACTCCAGTGGAGAAGAAAGCAGCGTCATGTATCATCTTGTAAAGAGAATGGACACCCCCCCCCCTCTCACAGGTTCACTGGACAGAATAGATAATCCTTTACAATCTTAGCACAGCACCAAAGAATGAGACCCTTTAAAGCACAAAGTGTAGAACACCATTGACCCCTTTTTAATGCAGGTATAACAAAGAGCTCAAATTTGGAAGTGAATGAGGTCAAACTTCACAAATTTCTTTTTTTCCTTCTCAGGTACATGGCTATTTTTATTGAATTTTGTTGTAAATAAGGTGTCAGGTTATACTTCTAAAGGAAGAAATCAAGAATTTACTATAATAATAATAAATATAATAAAAACAAACAAGCAAACAAAAAACTAATCTGAAACACATTAAATTTAATATACAGGGATATCTAATTCAATACATGAATTCCTTTTTATAGTATGAATTTAAAGTACGCTCTAATATCACAATTTGAAATGCCTGTTCTATTCTGTCAAGTGAACCTACATCGACAAAATGTCTTTCATTCTCTAAGTCACATGAAATCATACTTTCCCCTTAGCATTACCGACTCATGGTCCAACTAATGACAAGTTGGGTTGAAAGGGGAGGAACCACCTCCCCCTATCCAAGCTTTGATGTAATCTGGGTCTGTTTGTGAAGCTAGAGGTAAAGAGATTTCTTGTGTTCAATTTATGTTATGTTATATTCGTAATTTTCGTAAATGTATTACAGTTAACAACTAGATTATTCTTAGTCTTGCCAAGTTTTTGTAATTGCTAGTAAGTATGTGATAAAGTTGATTAGTCCCAATTTATGTTTCTTGATAGTGTGATATATTGAAGCTCACATCTATGAGTATTCAACAAAAGGCCTAATTCAACCAGTCCACTTTTGATTCTTGAGTTACAAAGAACAAAAATAACATCGAATTTAATTACAGGGGGTATGAATAATTCAGTGGTTTAACTGTTTATATGATGTATAGATATTTTTGTTTATAGCATATCCGTCATGAAAAAGAGTTTGGTTTTATAATTATGTGGTATCTTTGAGTGATTATTGTTTACGAGAAATGTGATGAAGCACAAAGTAGGCTGTAATTATTCTCAGGGAAGAGTACATTATCTTGATATTATTAACCATTGGCCATGAAAGAAAAAAGCAAAACAACATTTGCATCTTTGCTTAAAAAAAAATCACAAATACAATTTGGTAAATATAATCACATGGCAATCACTTTGAGAAAAATAAATTAGGTGTTCTTGATATTGTTGTGGTAATGGTGAAAGTCATGTTAAACCTTGAAAGTGATAGTGGGACTAAATCTAAACCAGAATAGAATAATAGAGTTCAGCTCAAAAGCTTTGTACATCTGAATCGGTTATTTCAAAGAATAATTCTGCACTTAACTGTGTTTGAAATTCTCTTCAGCTTTGCTTAGAAATCCATTTATCTATCACATGTTTTTTTAATTTTTTATAAAAGATGTCCGAAAATGTTATGGTAAGTTGGAGGCTTTCATCTATTGGTCTAGAAATCGTAATTGCCATTGATGCCTTGAAGGTTTATGTCCATGTTGAAATAAGCCCGGTGTCAGAGACTTATGCAGTTTTGTACAATTCATCCCAATCCACAGTTATTGACTATCTGAGAAATAAATGCAATTAAAACTTAATTTCCAACAGCATATCTTTAATCTTTCCCTCTGTTCTTAAGTTTTAAGAGATATTTTGAGATACATGGAGCTTCTGGTTTTAGAACGCAAGTGTCAACTGAGGGCAGGGTGGAGAGAGAGAAAGAGAGAGGGAGCTGGAGAGAGATGGGTGAACAGAAAGAGGATGAAATAAGAAAGAGACAGAGAGGGAGAGAGAGGAGAAGGGAGGGGGGGGGGGGGTTGAAAGAGAACCAAGTTGAGGTGAAGAAAATGATAAAGACAAAGAGCCAATAGGGATGGCGAGACGATGACAGGTCGATGTTCAAATTAACACGCCGTAACAATGCAGTTACACGTACCATATTAATCTAATAAGAATGAATTGACTTTAGAATCCAGATAAACGTCAACATAAAACCTACCAAAATGTTTTAAACTCGAGTAAGCTCGTTTATATCTCTTTCGCCATGGCCTAATCAACGCTTTGTTTAGTATCATTAGAAAGTTTGTTTTTCCTTTTCTAAATCAAACCAAATATAACTGGGGAGTAGTGAGCCCAATAAATATATATATTTTTTAACCAACACCCCCCTCTTGAGAGAAAGGCGGGGGGGGGGGGGGGGAGTAGTGAGCATTGTTTTTTTTTACTCGACACCCCCCCCCCTCCTTGAGCCAAAAAAAGCAACATTTTGGTAACCGTCTTTTTGTTAAATTTTTTCTGCCAGGGGTGGGGGCCCGGGCCCCTCGTGCCCCCCCTGGATCTGCCCCTGGCCCCAGAGAAGTTAAGAAAAGGACCGCAAAGTAATTGTCACTGAACAGAACAAAACTGTAGAACGGTCGTACATTATTAAAGGCTCATACCCCAAGATATGAAGGCAAGCTGGAGTATTTTTTTGTAGGACAGTGATTGTCGCTGCCTGAGGGACCTGTGCTTACACTAGTTTGTAATTCAACCAAATCTGGTGTTGGCGAAATATAATGGATACACATGGACATTAGGCCTAAAAATAAAAAAAGATGTTGTATTGCCCTTTAGGTGCGAAAACATGGGTCGGTCGGTCGGAAATCTTCTCTTTTTTCCCTTCCTTTTGGGGGGATATTTCACAGTTTTTAATTTATCAATATTTTTTCTCTCAAAAAACGGTTAAAAAAAAACTTTTTTAAAAAGCCGACGGTAGATTTCAAGATTTTGGGGTCGGTCGCAAAGGGCAAACAACATCTTTTTTTGTTTAGGCCTTATTGCTATGTGGCTTTAAAACAATGCTCCTGCCAAAAAAAAAACAATATAAACAAATACGACCCTGATTTACTTCCATTCATGAACTTACAGCTGCAAGTTCAAGGAGGCTCTTTTGATATTTCAGTCTTACTTCCCGTCTGTAATGGCCATTATTCGTAAAATTCTTTAAACGCGTCATTGTTTTTACAGGATGTGTCTCATACTACGAAATCCGGGATTTGGTTTTGGTATGGCATTGGACGTCGCAGACTCGCGTGCCCCCCCCCCCCCCACCCTCAATATTATTTAGGGTATGCGTATGCTTGTTCCCTCCCTTTGAAAGCACCCCCTATTTCAGGACTGCCAACATTTATGCCTTGGAGACCCCCCCCCCCCCCTAAATCCGGATCTCTGCTTAATGTATCCCCCTATCTATGATATTCATTTTTTTAATTTTCTCAGGGGTCCAAAGAGAGAGGGAGAGAGAGAAGGAAAACAAAAACTTTTTAAAGAAATGTCCGGATGAAAAGTCAAATACACCCCCTTTTTATATTATTCTCGGGCAGGACTTTATCGCGCGAAAAGTACCCCTTTACCGGAGATTTGGGGAACACGACTGCGGTCCATCCGACCCCGAAGTCGGGGGGGGGGGGTGGCTCGCGTGTAGCCTACTGGGAGCGAGAATGGAGATGGCTGGGTAAGGGACACAGCCAGTATAAGGGAGGGGTGATTTCGAAAGGATTCACAAGAATATACTTAACACTTTCAATCAGAACAATGCTTAGACAACACATATCGGCACCATATAAAACCCACCGACCAGTGTTCGCTATATGTTACACCTAAATAATTACGCTACCGTCTCAAACTTCTAAAGGCAAAAGAATGAACAAGAAAAGGTCCCGATGACGTCATGCTTTACTGTTAAAATATTCAGGTAACCACAGAGTATCAAGGGTTATTGAAGGTTTTCGTTTTTGTCACCAGTGCCTGGTCTTTACATCAAAGCCTACTGTGACGTGATCGAAAGTGGACATACTTCAGAAATCGTCTTGGTGCTGTGAATTTAAGGAGCTTTTAACTTCGATCAGCAATACAATCTCGAATTTGCCTGTCTGCGAAGGTACGGAGTATTCTCTTGGCAGTTTTCTTCGAAGACAATTAAGACAGCGTGAACGAACGGGATCTAAAAGAAGATGCCTGACAGTTCGATAGTTTGGGATCATCAAAGTTTCGTGGATCATGCAGGATGGCTTGAAGCCCATCATTCCTCGGCATGGGATTCTCATGAGATTCACAGTCCGCCTGATCCGGTGCCTGATCCTGTGCCTGATCCTGTGACAACCCCACATCAAGCACGGCGTGGGTAGGTGTTCAGTCTAAATTATACATACAGTCAAACCTGTCTTTAGCGACCGCCCAAGGAAAACACAAAAGTGGTCTTTGTAGACAGGTTCCTTTAGTATATGTTTCAATGAGAAACCATTTTCAAGGGAAACAAAAAAAATGCGGTCTTTGTAGACAGGTGGTCACTTAGGCAGGTTGGACTGTATATTGTTTGCCTAATTCGGGGGCACAGTTTAAAAAAATATTAGCCTAGTTGATCTCGAAACTGTACTGTGTCCCGAGAGTACAGTCTTGAGATCACTAAGGGGTTTTAGATTTAACCTCGACCCGACGAATACAAATTCATTATTTGTTTTATATACCGCATTTCGCGTGCGTATCCTTAAAAAATGATATTTTTATTTAAAGAACATGTCTGTCAGTTTCTAATTGTAGGGGAAGATACTGATCAAATGGTTTGAGAAGAGTGAATGTATTACTGAGCGAAAGTGCTAACTCAATGCCAATTTACTGCGCACTTGCCTCGTAGAAGTAGAAGTAAAAGTAGCTATAGGCCTATATACCCAGTAAATATGTTTCGCTTTTAAAACGCCCAAGCAGTCTATAGTAAATTCTGATGCCCGGACTTTTGACCAATCAAATGCCTAGAATATTGACATGCGATATAGAAGGTGAAATATATAACATTGTAAAGCCTGTAACAACCGACGATAAGGGTCTTTTAATATTGTACATTTCCATGGCATATATATACATACAGTATATATAAACCTAGGGGCGGTGGTTAACCGTGGGGAAATATATCACTCGCCAGACTCGCTGTTCAGTTTTTGGAACTCCTTTATTTCTAAAACCTTAGGATCGAATGTGGAAAACCCATCTTTACAGTGAGTTTTCACGTCTAATAAAAATGGGGAAATAGGCTCGGAACATTTTCGATGCATTCATTGTGACGTCATTCGAGCTATTTAAATGTACATAGCTTTTGTTACGTGACAATGCTCGCGCGTATACTGTACATGTATTATGACATCATAAAGAAATCTGATGAGGGGTAACGCGCGTCGAAACCAAAACATTACGCGCTTGTGAACTTGGAATAAAGTTTGTTGAACCGTACCGTCTAAATATGGGTCACAGACAAAAGCAGTAGGAGGCAATCTATTCAATTCAATTCAATTCATTTAACTGATTCAGTAATACAAAAATCATTTTCAAACGCAAAACAATGATAAATAGCCTGCATACACATAAAGAAACAATCAAAGTTAAACAAACATCAAAGTTGCATAACGGCACTCCACAAATTATATTTGATTGGGAATGCAAAAGCCTAGTCACTATTCAGAAGAAAGCTTTTAAGTCTCCAATATTTCAATATGTCTATGATACCGTATACCGCCTCCTGATCCCGGCCTCTGAAAGAAAATATACTAGTAAATAACAATAATTGTATTCACAAGTATTTGATAGATCTCAATTGGAAGAGCTTGCTGTTGGTGCCTAGGAATATACCCTGTTACACCGGTCCAATGTAACTTTAAACAAGATAAACTAGATTTCTTAGAACATGATTGAAACACCCATTTTTCTTAGAGGCAGACAAGATTGTTTATGAAGACCATTTTATTTAGGCCTAATATGAGGAATGCATGTCCTAGGGCTAGGCCTAGGTTATCGCTTCACGGGGTTATTAATATTACTATGTCAATAGACCTATGTTTAAATTTTTAAACTTTATTTTTCATTTTTGTATGTAAGGTCTATACTATAAAGTGTATGTGGTGAAATACTAATCTAGACTGTATTTAGCGGGTCTCTTTTTCACTTAATAAATATACACGTGGACTACCACACAATGTTCTGCCCTTTACCTGCCATTCCAATGCAATGATAAAACACAATCACTATAGATCTACTGTTCTATGAGCAAATTACTTCAATGTATTTCTGTTGCAAGCACAATTAGTTTAGAGCTCCAAAGAATCACCCCCCCCCCCCCCCCAAGTCGGTAGGGAAGTGGCCTGCAGGTCATAATAAGTGATAGATCTAGATCTAGGCCTAGTACTAGTATCAAAATCTTGAATTGCTTTTTCTCTTCCAGACAGCTAGGGAGTAAGTATTCAAAGTGTTCTTTTTTAATTTGTTATAAATACGTTTTCCCTTTATGTATATTGCATGTATATCTAGATCTAGATTCTAGGCCTAGAATACGACTTGTAATATGAAATTGCCAAATAGTCTAAATAATAGTCTAGGTCTAGGGTCTAGGCCTAGACTCTAATACAAATTTTAATAACCAATACCTTGTCCTTATCAGAGTAGACCTAGGAAGAAATCTAGGCTGTGCCCAAAGATAAAGATTTAGAAAAAAGTAACGATTGGCTAAATTCTGGGGGGGGGAGGGGTACTTAGAAAGGGCAACTCCTTACTCGATGTCCTTACATCTTAAATTCAGACTTATTCTTTAGGTCGAATGTATAAAGTATGTAGTCTACACATAAAGGAAACATCCCGCCATTATTCACTTCTCACGTGACACGTACTCAATCGACGTCGACGCGATCCTCGAAACTCGCTAATTTGCATAAGCGCGCGTTTTTTATTTGACACTTACTAATTTGCATATGCGCGCGTTTTTTATTTCACTTTCTGATTGGCTACAAGTTATCCGTAGCTTAGCTTTGATTGGTAGGTTCTCAGATGTTGCCGGTCGGCTACTCGTATCCCGAATCCTCATTTGCATACATCATCTATTATAAATAGGTCGAGCACCAGGTTGTACATCATTCATTAGATTGATTGAAATCTTAAGCAATCATCATGCCGTCTCAGAAGAGTCCTACCAAGCGAAGTCCGACCAAACGTAGCCCCCAGAAGGGAGCTGGCAAGGGAGGCAAGGGATCCAAACGAGGAGGAAAGGCCAGGCGTCGTGGTGGAGCCGCTGTAAGGAGACGTCGACGAAGACGCGAGAGCTATGGAATCTACATCTACAAAGTGTTGAAGCAAGTTCATCCCGACACTGGCATTTCTAGCCGCGGCATGTCCATCATGAACAGTTTTGTCAACGATGTGTTCGAGCGCGTCGCAGCCGAAGCTTCCCGTCTTACCAAGTACAACCGCAGGAGCACCGTTTCAAGCCGCGAGATCCAGACCGCTGTCCGCCTTCTTCTCCCTGGAGAGCTGGCCAAGCACGCCGTTTCTGAAGGCACCAAAGCTGTCACCAAATACACCACGTCTCGATAGATCCGAGACCTGGCTGGCCTGGAGACCATCTCCAAAACCAACGGCTCTTTTCAGAGCCACCAATTTTCCAAGAAAGAATTGAAATAGATTTTCGGCTAATTTATCCCCTCGACAAGAGTCTAGATAGACCTAGACCTAGTCTAGATCTAAATTAAATCTAGGCCTAGACTCTAGACTTTTTTAGACTAGATTCTTCTACTTCTAGATCTAGACTAGATCTAGATCTATAGTCTAGATCATAGATGATAGATCTAGATCTAGTCTAGACCTCTAGGCCCTATCATCTAGAACATTCAAGTTCCTTCGGCAATAATCGGGCAAAAAGTCACAATTTGGGGCCGAAAGGTAAATAAATTTAGACTGGGAAAGTGGAAAATAAAGCAGCGGTGAAATAACGACTGCAGAATATCCCTCGCTGTTCATTTTCGATAAGCCTAATATTATAACCCGGGTGTAACCATAACAAACTTGCCACATGATTTTGTTTTTATTTTATACCTCCAACATTTATACCTCTGACATTTTTACCTCTGACATTTTTACCTCTGACATTTTTACCTCTGACATTTTTACCTCTGACATTTTTACCTCTGACATTTTTACCTCCGACATTTTTTCCTCGACATTTTTACCTCTGACATTTTTTCCTCTGACATTTTTACCTCTGACATTTCTTCCTCTGACATTTTTTCCCCTGACATTTTTACCTGGCACCATTAGCAGCTCCGAGGGAGCTCCGGGTCAGTCTGAGGCGGCTGTACCTTTTGCATGTACCCTCAGTCGCCCCTTTTTATATAGGAAAAGTGACGGACCCCTTTAACTTCAGCTAAGTGCCCCTTTTCATTTCTAATAGGTGCCCGTTCCACATTCTTTTAAGTGCCCCTTACCATCTCTTATAAGTGCCCATATTTAAAGCTGTGAGTTACCCCTTTTTACTTTAACAAGTGCCCTTTTCCTTTATAATAAGTGCCCCTTTTCCTTCTGATAAGTGCTCATTTACGTCTCTTTGATGAGTGCCCCTTTTCATGTCTAATAAGTGTCCCTTTTCTTCTGATAAAACCCCCTTTTTTTCAATAAGAGCCCGCCCCTTTCCCCTACTCAGTGGCGGATCCAGCCGGCGGGAAGAGGGGGGGGGGGGGCAATCCGTGAGAAAATATTAGTTGCGACTCGGCCGTCGGTGAATAAGCGGGGAAGGGGGTAGGAGGGCCGGAAAAATCGCTACGTGGATCCGCCCCTGCCCTTACTCATAAATGCCTCTTCTCACACCTTTGATAAATGTCTCTATTAAAATCTGATATGTGCCCCATTTCCTTCGACAAGTGCCCCTTTCCATTCTCACAAGTGCCCCTATTTAGGTACAAGAGTTACCTCTTACCACCTCTGATAGGTGTCCATTCACCTCTTATAAATGCCTCATTTCAAATTTGAGAGGTGCCCCCTTTAACTTTCTATAAGTGCCCCTTTTATGTTGTAATAAGTGTCCCTTTTCCGTTCTCGTAAGTTCATTTTTTACCACATCTGATAATTACTTTGACACGTGCTCCTTTTCTTTTTTAATTAGTGCCCCCCTTTTCACCTTACTCCCTTTGTATTTATTTTAGAAACATCAACTTGAAGGCAAACATCGGATCAGTTACGATCGAAACTACGAAAAGAAGCGTGTCAACAGTAGGCCTATCATCTACCAGTGGCCTTGGCGTCAAGACCGAGCAAGGATCTGGTAATTTTCTCTTAATTCTACCAAATATTCAACGTTATAACTAATGACGTAGGGATTATGTGATTGTGATATTTCATGAACTCATAAAATGGGTTAATGTTATATATAATGTTAAAACTTGATGGAAAAGGGGCAGCGGGGACTTCGTTTACACCGTATGATCATCATTATTATAATTCTTGTGACGATGATAATGAAATAACGAATACGTGATTTTATAGCTATTGTAATTTCTTCACAATGACGATTATACGAACGAAATGATACTCCCCCCCCCCCTTTTTTTTTATTCATTGATTTTTAAAAATCTATTTATCTATCATTTTTTGAAGTTTTATAAACCTCTCCCTCATTTCAGTCGGAATCACATCACCAATCGTTCTCGAAGACACTCAAAACCACACCAGTACTACCAGCGGGATAACGAATAGTACTGATGCATACTCAATCACAGAGTCGTATGATATGCCTAATGTGGGGGCAGCTCGTGCACCTGCTCAAGGCCCCGCTCAAGGCATCTTCGATCAACATCGCGTCTTCGTATTCTCTGGCATTGCCGTGTCCGCTGTAATACTCATCGTCGCAGTCGCATTACTTATCGTCATACTTCGTCGGTCACGAAGGAAGAAACAGTAAGACTGGTATTCACAGTATTGCTGATTAATTTGTGTGTAATGTGAAATTAATTGTATAAGGGATCTTATGTACACGGACCGACTTCTATCATTCAGCCGCGAGCATATCTCTGGAAGTGGTCCTGTAATAATGTATCACTCTACCCACCCCTCTCTCTCTCTCTCTCTCTCTTTCTCCAAGTACAACTTTTGCAATTGGGTTTAGGGGGGGGGGGGGTAGTCCGTTTACATATCAATCGGATGCAGTGCCCATACCTCGCCGGGTTTTCTTTTCTTCAAGATGACGAGCGATGCACGAAGGCAAATAGCCACAGAAATGCTAAAAACAGAAACCAAAAAATTGAAAAACTAAAATAATATTTCGAAATCGGTAAACAAAACTACTACTGTAGAGAACGAAGACAAGTATTAATTGATGTCATGATCATTGTTTGCATGCTTTGCCTCTCTGCCTTGTTGTGGCCCATTATTATCACCCTTTTTAATGGTTTTGGTATTTTTCCCTTTTCCTCCAACAGAAAACAAGTTACTCTGAACTCCACAGAGGCACCATCCAGTAAGTGTATATTATTATTATAATTAATTTTATCATAATCATTATTAATAGTATTTTCATTTGTATTTGTTTATATATATTCATATTTTTCATTCTATTTTATTGTCAGTGTTATTTCTTTCTTTTTTTTTGGGGGGGGGTTGCCACTAAACGTTCACGTGATGACACATCTTGCGTGATTTTAAACTACAATTTCCGAAAAAATTGATTTACATGGAATTTTGAATAAAACGATAGATTTATTTGATTTCAGCTCGATCCGTATACACATTGATTTTCATATTTACATCACCCATAACATCATGGTCAACGAAGAAACCATTTCAAGTTTCAAGTTCAAGTTTTTATTGTTCCACATTTTACAAAAAATTAGACATACATGATACTTATGAAGTAAAATTTTTACAGAGCACGTCTCAATGATTCTCAATTCATATTTATAGATTAAGTAGAATATGAGGAACCTTTAAAAAATCGGCGGCTTGTATAATATAGGATCCTAGTAAAATAAGTATTGCAGATGGAAAATGTAGCAGTAGAGAAAGACGTACTTTAGAGGGAGGGATTTAAAGCTCCACTGTACTACTTGTAGCTAATTGCTCCCTCTATATAGAAAACAATGCTTAATCGGTGACCATTGGTCCTCCATGACCCTCTTTTTATTCTGTTAATGGAGAGCTGAGTTGATGAGATAGCCATCTGTCAGTGACCTTGCTGGGTGGTCTAATCCCTCCTAGCCAAACTAGTACAGACGGTCTTTAAAACACAATGGAATAATGAAATTTGTATACAAAATAATGCATTAGCACCAATACCCATTTACTTGCAACTATGAATTCTTCATTTTAATGTGACAGGCAAGGGAGTCCGTCGTCTTGTGAAGATGGAGAGTCAGGAGAGTCAGCATACTTATGAGGAGGTACAGCTTCACAAGAAAGATGATAACATGACCACAGTGAGCAGCTTGGACATCAGGCTAACAACGCCCTCTACTGCCATCAGTAATAAAGGTTTGTGATTTGCGTGTCTTTCTAGTATTTATGTTTTCATATAGATAAGAGTTAAAATTTTAAATTACTATCAATTCGAATTTTTTTCATAGTTTCTGGTAATGATTTTTCGAGACCTCTAATTGCTGTAACCACGAGACATCATTATGAATGATAGCATTTCAAGAAAGGAGAAGAAAAAAAGTCCCTGACTGATAACTTTAGGATAACAAGTCATATTTAAATTGTTATTATTCATATTGGTAGTTTTCAAACTATATGAATGCATAATATCAATTGGCAACTATATGGACATAATTATGATATTGTCTACATTAACTTTGTACGTCTTTATGTCGTATTACCTAGTGAACATTATTTCAAAATGATTATTAATATTTTCCCCTGAGTAACTTTTCTGCCCGAAACGTTCCCAAAATGTCCTGCAGGAAAGTCAAGAAAAAGAGGGCGCGTGGTAATAAGGGGGTAGGTCGGCCACTTCGGAATCCTCTAGGTTAAGGTTTATGTATGTGGCTTATTGACTTAATCATTTTTCTTTACGAGTTATTTTTGCACTTATGTTTTATCTTGTAGGAGGAAAAAGTGACCCCAAGAATGCAAAGGTCGAACAGTGTGGAAAAGGACCATTTTACTTTGAGTTAGACGAATCCAGCGGCCAACCTACCATACCCGTTTATTCAACGCCTATTTCGAAACGAACTGACGAATTTTCCGCGAAAACGGATGTCGATAAGACTGGTGTCTATCGTTTGTACAGTGAGCCTATTCCTTTTACCAAAACGAAGGACCAAGGTGACAAGATCCAAGAAAATGTTCGATATTCTACCCTACTCCAACCTATTTCATCGTCGATCCTTCTCAACATCAAGATAAAAAGATTGGCGCCGGTACAACCCTTCCTCGTAGAATGCTCACACGACAATGTGACGTAACAATCGAAAATTATGATAAACTTGATCGTAGCTTCACGATGACGTCATCGTCACCCGGAAAGGAGAAAACAAGCGGACTGGTTTCAGATGATATGGGACCATACAATTGCCTGAACCGTGATCAGAATACAGCGAATATGGTAAAATCCTCGTCAAATTCCCAAATGGCAATTGATTCACCACCAAAGGAAAAGGTGTCTGGTCTTTTTGAGGCTAAAGGATACAACACGTTGGCGTTTTTGGGGATTATTTTGAAAACATGAACTTTCCTTTGCTTCTGAGTAACAATTTCCATGTTATAGACAACACAACATTCATTGTAGTATACAAAGGTGGGAATTCTTCTTGATGAAAATGATGTACTGTGCTATATTATTCTTTCCGTTTCATTCACTTTCAAAGTTTTAAATACAAATTAATCTTGTTTTCCATCATTTTTTAGTTTTCTCGTGATGACACATTAAGAGAAATCTAGAAATATTGAAACTATGGCAAATTGAATTCAATGGCCTCGATCTTCTTTTCGTTGTTGTCATGAATGTTTATATAGAGAAGCTAGTATCACAACAACAAAACAAATCAATATTATTCCACATGCCTATTTACAAGGTAAAGGTCTGACTTGTAAATAAAATTGTGAATGTTGTAATTCATCTCTTATTTTGTAAATAATTACGTCGCGTGTTTTAAGATAGGAGAAGCTGTAAATACATTTCCTGTTTGTCCTTCTTTTCTGTCTGACTTATTTTACATCTTTATATTTTTCTTTCTCCCTCCTTTATTACAAATGAAAAATCACAATGAGCTGTAAATTGTGATCTCTTTGTATATTGTTAATGGAATTTTGGTAAAGAAAAAAAATGTTTTGTAAATTCTTATCAATTTCTAAGTTCTAACAAAAAAATATAGAGGGAGTGTAAATAAATTCATCATAATTACCATGAAAGTAAAGCAATGGCGCTCATTTTTAAGTTTGTCAATAGCATCCTGCGCTCACACAACATGCTTATACATGGATTTTGTGTGATCATGGTTCTCAAAAACTTATCTAAAAAGATATCTTTACCAGAATGAAAGTACATGCAAAATGTCAGATCAAAATATATGGGTTTTCTCTCTATTAATGATAATTGGAGCCCTCATTTTTTTCTTCTAAACAGCAAAATGGGTGAATAAAACACTGTCGAGTTGCACAATTCAAGTGCAAAAAGAAAATGGGCTGTCATTTTGTTATATTTTGCAATCATACTTTTACGAAAGTTTTAATTATAATTTTGTACATTTGGGTCTTTTCCCAAGTTTTGAGATTTTCACCGTGCAAATCCCTGCTACACCCTGTAGCATGTTTAATGAACCAGCTTGTGCATGTAACTTTACTACATTCATTGTGTTGTATATATCATATGAGAACAACGAAGGCATGTAATAAATACATTTGTTAAAAAATATCGCCGTTTTAAAAGCAAAATCGATTAGAAAAAGAAAAAAGAGTGACAGGCCAGGTATGTACAGAAAGAGAGAAAGAGAGAGAGAGAGAGAGAGAGAGAGAGTGAGAAGAAAATTGTTGGAGAGTTTTTGAAATAGTGTACACAGTACAAATTTATAATTAACTGTATTAATATAAAACAAAGAAGCGTACACTTAAGTTTTATGTCCGATTCAAAAGAGGATCAGTATAACAAATACTGTTTTAAAGAAAGAAAAAACGTGTGTCATCATCATTTAAAGCCCCTCTAAAGTGTTCGGAGCCTCAAATTCGCGAACATTTTTATGGCAAGATTTCTCTTAAATTGTATCATAATGTGAAAGAGGATGTAATTTAAGACACACTTCTATGTGTTTCAAGACAAATATTGGTAAATGAATATATATAATTTTGTTTTTTTGTTGTACCCAGAAAATCTGGATAATTATCGTATTCTTTCATCAATATTCGACTTCAAACACATTTTTTAAAAAAATTATAAAAATGTGTCTTAATTGACATTCTCTTTCACATTATGATACAATTTAAGTGAAATGTTGCCATCAAAATGTTTGGGGCTTCCAACACTTTAGAGGGATAACTACCGTAAAGCGTATATTGGCTGTTATAATTATTTCAAGAATATTTTGTCCATTGATACTCCCCCCCCCCCCCACTCCGAGAACGGAGGGATACCATGCGTGTTACCAAAATGTCATGTATAAAGGGGTACTTTTCGTGCAACAAAGTCCGGCCCGAGAATTGTAAAAAAAAGGGGGGTGTATTTGACTTTTAGTTATTTCTGTTTATGTTTTTTTCTGTTTTTTTGTTTTTTCTTTTTTTCTCTTATCTCTTTGGACTCCTGAGAAATAAAAAAGGGGGTTATAAAATATCTTCAAAATAGAAAAATTGATCAAATCCCGCGATCAAATTTCAGAAAATTCTAACTAAGTCTCAATATCAGGCTCTGAAGTAATTATTCAGTGGTGATATATTATGCAGATAAGTGAGCATATAAATAATTTGAAGACTTAGTTTATTCTTACAAGGTATAAATGAAAACACAAGCACAGACATTTTAGTGCAATATGCAAGTTTGTATTTCATGTGCTAAATGTCTGTACGTAATCTTGTTGTTTATTTTATACAGATCAAATTTTTATAATGACTTCAGTTTAGCGCAGGCCGAGTTCCTTGGGGTATTCCCTGGGTGTGTGAGCCAACCAGTAATGACAGCTTATCTGAGATGAGGGGGGGGGGGGGGGGTGTCTGCATGTCCTGAGATAGGGGGTACATTGAGCAATGTTCCGGATTTAGGGGGGTCTCTAAGGCAGGAAAAGCCCGCGAAAAGCCCGTGTAAGGGGGTTCGGAAATGTTGGCATTCCTCAGATAGGGGGTGCTTTCAAAAAGAGGGAACAAGCATATTGCGTACCCTAAATAACACTGAGCGGGGGGGGGGGGGGGTTGATACTATAGTAAAAAATGTCCTCAAAATGAGGTACTGCATACAATCATGATCTGATGGTCTATGTCTTTATGTGTTTTCCTGGATTAATTTCGTAATCAGTATTGCGTTTGCGATACCACTTATAAATGTTGGTTGTTTTCTAAAGAAGAAACAATTCTAAACTCCCCCCCCCCCCCAAAAAAAAAAAAAAAAAAAAATTGTATAGGTATGGAATATTTCTATTGTACTAGAGTGGAAATCTTTATTGGGGGAGTAATACTATTTGGTATCATTTCGATTGATGTGAAAATTCACACTAAAAAAAATGGATCTTATATACCCTCAAAAGAGTTGGAATTGATTCAGCTCCAAAGGAAATGACCCCAAGTGTATTTTCACTCCTCTGCATGCATATAAAGAGAGTATACACCCTTCAAGGATTTTGAACAGTAGGGTCCATGGTTATAAGTTGTGTGCACTCTTTGAAGTTTATAGTCCCAGCAACATTGTGTTTGAGTCTGGAGTGGAATCCTGAGTCACACAATGGTGGTCGAACCAATAACAAGCTCCTAATATAGTACAAGCTCCTTTGTCACACACTCAGTATAGAAAGCAAAGCCAGTATAACAACTTTTCGAGACCGATCGAGACGGGTCTCGCTAAATAACCCCCAAAATGGGTACAAGTAACAAGGATATATCATTACACCCATGCCGGCGGCCCAGTAGAACATTAAAACAAAACAATAAAGAAAATATATTTAATATTTAAAAATAATATTGATGTTAATGGAGGAGGAGGTACACTAACGATAAAGGAAGTCAGTAAGAATAAAGTGTAAAAGAGAGAGAGAGAGAGAGAGAGAGAGAGAGAGAGAGAGAGAGAGGGGGGGGGGGGGAGGGGGAAGATAATTAGGTGGGGGCGGCGCGGGTTCATGAGTGGTGATGGTGGTGATCATTACTTTTTCGACTAAATTTATGATATGCAAAAACTATGTCATCACATTATAGAAATTTCTATATCTTAACAGTTTTCAAAGTTTGAAAATAATGATAGTCCTTCCATTGGCATTCCGGGGCTATAGGCCTAGTGAATGGAATACCAGAAAATAGATGTCAATGCAATGAAATCAATAGATCAGTCGATCAACAGTCAAAGATTAATTTGTGGCACAATAATTAATGCTTGACCAGGATAGAACATAAAATGTTCATAATTATAAAAAGATATACAATGGATGATGGATTGTACGTGACAGTTCCCCCCCACCCTCCCTCCCCCCCACCCCCCTCTAATTTAGTTTTGCATGGGGTACGTTGTCTCCGGTTTGACGCCCATCCTTCCGAGAACGTGATTCTTCCTACCCAACAGCTCATAAAGGGTAGGGCTCAGTTTGCGAGAAGAAAAGAACACGTACAATGCATAACAATTAGATTCACGCATCAGTTGTTCGTCCATCACTCACAGTATACTCCACAATATCAGAGAGTTTCTACTGCCCACTGCATAGATCCTAGCCTTTCACAGTGAAATACCACTGTACTACCAGGGCGTTCACTTGCACTGCCACTGTCGCCGTTAATCCGCTGTGCAACTTTGCTGTTATACGGCATTGTGTAATTGGCTTCATTTCAAAGTTGCAATATTTCAGTCAAGTAAATAATATAAAGAAAAGCTGAATTGATCATGATGGATGTGAAGATGATCAGACTGAAACTCTACCAATCTACGATATGGACATTATTCATGGCAATTTGTTTATCAGAAGGTACGTACTTGATACCAATTACTAGTGTGACTGTGAGTGCAGTGAGTCATAACAACACTGCAACAATAATGTGTAAGGCCTCACGCAAATGAATGAAAGTGCATTTAACGATGCCTTCATAAACCATCTAGCCACATTAATTCATTTTAAGAAGACAGTGAAATACGATTTTCTCTCTTCCCTCTCATAAATTTGTCTAATTAATATATGATTTTTCTTTTGGTGTGTGAAATGTGATACATGTAACATATTAAATCCACCCACCTGTTACATATTCTCTGTGTAAAGTGTATAGGCTTACATTGTGGTAGTGGTTGTAAGTGTATATTTATCATTATTATGGTTAATTTGACTAATATTAATAATAATACCTGCACACCTGGACATCCCCATGTCGCAACACACATGCACTCGCACACATCTGCAAGAATCTTCAGTAGTGAAGGAGGCAGATTATTTTGAAGAAGAAGAAGAAGAAGAAGAAGAAGAAGAAGAGAAGGAAAACTTTGCACACGTATAACTCCTTGATATACTACATGTATACAAATAGGGCAAGTTTAGGCAAATATCAAGAGTTAAATGATATAAGATTATAATTTGGGAATAATTAATTAAAGGGATGTATTACACTTGTAAATTATTCTACTTTGGCTGTTTTTTTAAAAACAGTATTCTTATAAATTTGCATCAGAAAAAGCTTTTATTTTACTCTGTCTTGGTTACTACTCTTCTGAAAACATAAATGTTGTGTACTCGAGATAACCAATTAAAGAAAACTGTAGAATTGGAGAAATATGTGAATTCTGATTTTCAAAGTGAATCATGGGCCCTATTATGTTTGTGGTAGTAGTTTGTGGATATGGTCGGATGAATATTGCATTTTGTGGTTCTTTTATTTGTCATTGTCTGAACCAGAACATTGTTTCATGAAACCATCATAAGTTCAAGGCCGACATCCCAGTGAATCATGTTTAAAATTTAATACATGCATTTAAATGGGTTGTCTGCGAACTTGTACTTATGACGGTTTCATGAAACACTGCTCAGTACCTGGTGGTAGGCCATGATACATATTTTACCAGGAGTTGAAGAAGAAAAAAATACCAACGAATACATTTATATGTCTTCTACATTTCTGGAATACCTGTCTTAAAGGGAAATCCAACCCAAATAGACAACTACTCTAAAAGAAAGCAGACAAAGTAGAGAAGCAAACTGATGAAAGTTTCAATTAAATATAAGAAAGAACTGAATTTTTGAAAGTTGTTATCATTATACGCATGGGCACTTCAAATTGGCTGAAGCGGTAATGTCAATGTGATGTACGTAGTGCCAGACTGCTTTCCTATCTATTCCAACATATATGTAAAATGACTAAAATTTAAATTTGTCCACAAAATCATGGCTCAGGAGGGTCTTTTCTTTTTAGAGGACAATATATTTTGAGTAATGCCCAGAGGGAGAAGGAACTTACGAGAAAAACAGAAATTAGTGATATCTTTGTACACTGCAGATGGGAGAGCTATCCACATTCTATGTCACAATCATTTGACCAAACTACCAATTTGAGATACGCATCTAGACTGATAGTGATCTCATATTTCAAAAATTCATAACTTCCTTACTTTTGGTACGATTCATTTCAAACTTTTCCCATTCTGTTTCTGTTATTTTTCTGCTTTCATACAAATTAACTTATCACAAGGGTTGGGTTGCATTTTAATTAATAAAGAATTGCGAATAAACTTCAAGTGAAGAACTTACATCACCTGATTATGATGGGGTTGGCCTGTTTGTATGTAAAATTAATTTTGTTGTTATTATCTGGCCTGAATATTAAGAGCTGAACAATCGAGAACCATGGAAGAATCCTGGATCGATGAACAGGCTAGAGTAGACCTACAACATCGAGTATTAAAGTAAAGTAAAGTACCGGGTATGTGATTTTTTGGGGGGGTAACTTATGAAATGTGTAACTCATTGCTGTCTCTCTTTGTTACAGCCGTCAAATTGAATGATCAGATCCTTCACTATGAGGGTTTGGATTATGACACTACACACATCAACCTACAGCATAGGAGAGTAGCTAGGTCAACAGACTCTCAACAGAGAGTGGAAATCAAGTTCAATGCACATGGAAGGTAATTATTCTTCATATTGGTTTAATTCAAGTGTTTTTCTGGTCCAGCTAGAGGGAAGGCTAATTGTTCAGACATCACATGATCGCTGCGGTTCGTTATGATGACGTCAAGCCTATTAAGGTTTCCATTTGTGTATCTTATAACATGGAGCTTGCTGAATACGCTCAGGACCTTTGTTGTGCGCAGTTGCCAGTAATACATCTTAAAAACCTGGCGGCTTTTTTGCTGCAGTTTTCTGCATCATATCTGACTGAGCCATAATATAGGGCCTTTTTAGTGGCTTTATCGATTTGTATTAGTATACAAATAATGCACAGCAGTGAGGGCATTAGTAAGAATTACCCACACAAGGTACCCTTGGAACAGTCTAACACGCCTGAGGCGGTAGCCAAGGGTATTACATGTAGGATTGTTTTCACCGAGTGTGGGTGATTTTACTAATGCCCCAACAAAATGATGTGTATTATTTGTTTCAAAAGATTATGTTTTATTTGTTTCAAAAGATTATGTTTTAAAACATGGTTTGGTTTTACTAATGACCGGTCATTATCCAAATTACAAATTAGGCAAAATTCATGCCTGGTCACGTGTAAGCTTTCAACCAATCATTTGATTAGGATCCACGTCATCATCTTATAAAAGACATTGATGGCATTACATTGGTCATATATTTGATTCTAAACATATTCACCTAGAATATATCATCTGTTCAGAGCCTAAAGGGTGTTAACTCTGTTAAAGATAAAGTTGAGTTCTGGTCATGTGATTGCATTGTGAAAGAAACGGTGTGGAATCTATCAGAAAAGGTTGATCATCTAGTATATAAATATTCGTGTGTATTGCAAGGTTCTGGAATCATCAAAATGATAAGAAATTTGGCCAAATCTTGGCAAAGTTACAAGCACTGAACACAGAATGATGTATATGGGACTACACGAGCACATGGCGAAAGAAACCTACCCCCCCCCCCCCGATTTTTACAATGTTTCATGTCATATTTAGAATATGAAGGCATTTGAAGAGCCTTTTCAGGGAACATGTTTAATCTGATGTTCTTCCACCCTTGCATAATAACAATGATAATTAACGCTCACAAATTATTTTTTACCTCTTCCCAGAACTCAACCTTCTCTTTAAAGTATTTGAGTTAATGCCCTTCTGGCTCTATACAGATGATATATGTACCTATATAACTTTGTCCCTATTATTATGGGACATTATGTACACATGACTTTTTGTTGTATCCCACAGATTCATTTGCACATTGTCTACATTCACAGACCTCACGTCATTAGGTCAACAATGAAACATTGTTCGTGAAATATGAGTTCAAAGTCCATTGATAGCACTGCATGGGAAAGTTCTTTCCCCAAACATTGCCCAATACAGGAAGGTGTGTCCTGGGGGGCGTTTCACAAAACTTGTCATCAGTGACAAATGGCATTTTTTGTTATAAGCTACTGAAATCCTTGCTTCTGATTGGTTATCAACAGATTTGTCACTGATTTTTGTCATTTTTCATTGAAAATAAGGCTTTGTGAAACAAGTCCCAGTAGTATTGTAGGTCAAATACAGACCTATAAGTGGTGACCTGAACGAAACATAGTAATAATTGTGGTTTGCTGATAATATTTTTGTATTTCTCATTCAATCTAATAATTGCATGATTAGCTTTTATAGAACTGAAAATATTTACTATTACATACGATTAAAGAAAGAATTATTCTTTTCTCTACAGAGATTTTCATTTAAGGTTGAAGAGGGATGTCAACACTTTTTCAAAGGAGTTTCGAGTTGTGACATCACAAGGAGAAATCCCCATGTCATTTGAAGATGCCCCTATGTACATTGGAGAACTAGTTGGTAAGTGAACAGTATTGAACATATTTTTGTTGTACATTTGAAATTGAAATATATTTGAATGATGTTAAAGACTGCTGAGTTTTACATTTTCCACATCATCCATATTTGATTAGGGAATAGTGTATCCTAATTGGTGTAGGAATAAATGGGATGATTTTTTTGGAACAAGCTGCAATTAACATAGAAGAATGTTGCACATATTTAATACAGAAAGGAAAATTCTTTTGCTGGAAATATAAAATTTCTCTCCACTTTTGGAATCGATCATCAATTACTATGTAGCTAAAATGAAATTCAATAGTTTTGTGTCAGCCCAAATCTCCTTATCAACCATAAGGAAAACTCTAACTTCAAGAATCTTAAGGTTTAAGGAATCATAGATTCATACTTTTAGTTGACCTTCAAGACCTGCCTGTTGATTATAAAGTGACCCTTTTATTTATGTTTTTCTGTTTTATCATTGTCTCATAGATGAATCTGGTACATACTGCCATGGCTCTGTGAGGGAAGGGCAGTTTGAAGGGCATATCCTTATCCCCAAATCCCAAGAGTCTTATTCCGTGGAGCCATCGAGTCGTTACCTGGAGGATCCAGACTTCCATTCCATCATCTATAAAGACGAAGATGTTGTCCTACCAGATGAACCCAAGATGGAGGATGAGGGTCAGGGAAGTTGTGGAGTCAAAGGCGAGATCAAGAAAAGAATGGATAAAAAACTAAAGAATATGAGAGTGAGTAGTCTTGTGTTTCTAGTAGGGGTGTCATTTAATTGGGTTTCAATTTGTTTAAATATAATTCCAGTTAAAATGATTGGGTTATTATCATGAGAGCTTTTTTTTCTTGTTCCTCTTCACAATAACCTAAGTAATTTCCAAATCTACATTTAAAGATGAAAGCCTTGTCTCTAGACAATACCATAATTTGATACACCAACTTGAAGATTATTGTCTTAATAATATACAAAAAGGCCTTCAAAGTAAATTGTAGCGATGATAACATTCATTCAATCAAGGCTGCATTTCAAGATTATTTAGGTATGGTGGAATACTTGGCAAGTTGTTATACTTCACAACTTAATAAAAATGAGCAATTTCCTTTTACTGTGGTTCTTTCAAACTTCCTTCTGATCTATTCTCCCATGTCACTGTTTTTGGTCAAAACATGTAGCTATGGAGCTTTAATTCTCTTTGTAGTATGAACGGAACATGTTGAGTAATTTCATGATGGTGTTTCTCTCATTTTAATAGCACTCTGAAGCCGATGCTGATGATGTAACTTTCCGTAAGAAGAGACAGACGATAGATGTGGACAAGCAAACGTGTTCTCTCTACATCCAAACTGATCATACGTTCTATGAGAGGTGAGAATCATCTAAGAATGTTTAGTGAATGAACGAATAAAAATGAACTCTATGCCACCACAAAATAATCAAGTGAAAAGAGGTATACTATTATTGTTGGTATCCAGCATTCCTATCCGATTTAGAATGAACTTTGCTACTGGTGAGTTCTGGCTTAATTCCAATGGGAAAAAGTGTAACTGTTGTTTCATTACAAAATCTATTGCGGCATGTGAATGTAAGCCTTGGTTGTGTCAAAATTAATGAGTTTCACTAATAACCATAGATTAAAAAGCCATTGTATAGTCTTGAGAGCCCCCCCCCCAAAAAAAAAAAAAAAGAAAAAAAAAAGAAAGAAAAAAAAAAAAAGAAAAAGAAGAAGATGAAAGAAACGGAAACAAAAAAAGGAAAAAAAGTCATGTCAAATATACATATTTTACTTGACTTGATCAGTTTTTTTAAAACATGACATGATATCTCTACAGTTACATAGCTGCAGTGACTTTTAATCCAAATGTGGACTCGAGTAGAGACGTGGACACTATTGCTGGCTGTTATTTTGTCTCTATACATTTTCATACTTTTTGTCATTCTTATCTTATATTTTTGCTGTAGATTTCATTGAGATATTAAAAGCTGCTGAACAGGTTCACTTTCTATTTTATGACATAACTACATGCTTTGCTTTTTAAGAGTTCAGCAGGGCTCCACTGCCTCCACATTAACTCTTTTTGAAAGGGGTCCATAATGAACTTTATAGAGTCTGTATGCATACCTCCAATGTCAAAACTTGAAGTGTTGGGGTCTAGACTTAAATTTTAGGCACCCATGTGTGTGTCCCGGGCACCTGTTAGTGTCGGGCCCTGAAAAATCATCAATCGTCTTATTATCATCTGATCTCTGGTTAACTTACAATGTCTCCTGTTTGTTCATAGACACGGATCTGTCAGTGCAGTTGTAACCCAGATAGGTCAGCATGTGCAATCAGCAAGTTTTATCTATGAAAACACTGATTTTGGTAACTACCGAAACATCTCCTTCGCTGTGCAAAGGATGAGGGTAAGCAGCCGGTTTGTAATTGTTATCTTACAGGGCATGCATTGCAAGAAAGTTGCGATTGATCTGATATTTGCAGTCGATTGCAACTTAACCTTCTTGCAACGCCCCACTAGTCTCCTAAATTTCATAGGATTTTGTTGGGATTAAAGTTTTAACAATTAAATTAAGTTAACTAGATCTAGCTTTTATTCTCCCCTCTTCCTCTCTCTCTTTCTCTCTCACTCTTTCTCTCTCTTACTGATGGGGCATTGCAACAAAGTTGAGTTGCCATCAATTGAAAATTTGCAATTAATCGCAAGACTTATGCTTGATTTTGGGGATTTGCAATTGATTGCAACTTTCATATAAGACTATTAGAAGAAGGATGCTAGATTTTTTTTTCAAGGACAGGTTTGTTTGTTTTAGGCCAAAGGGGTTTGACACTCAATGTGTACCTGGAAGGAAATGAGTCAATGTTTTTCTCCTGAAGTTTGTGATCAGTTCGTCTCTAGAGACATTTCAGTATTATCATACAGTTTGTAAAAAGAGATAACAAAATGATTAAAGACAGGTTTGTTGCAGTCTGTTATTTGTGAACTCAAATAATTCCAATTCCCACCCCAAAGCACCCACCCCAAAGCTCCCCCTCCCCCCACCCCCAATTGTACATCTATATCTCCTTGGTATATTGTATGTATTATAAAAGCAGGTGTAAAACTCCAAGTAGGTCAAATGGAAATATTCTATTGTGGCATTAAATTATACATATATGGGGGTTACTAGAAAATTAGTAAATTTCACTATATATCTATGACTTATACCAGGACCTTTAATGTTTATACTCTATAGAGTTGAATTTAGGGATAATTAATCTTAAGTTTGAGGGGTAATATAGCCTATGAACAGTAAAGACATTAAAGGGAGATTGTCATTAGTATCCATGTGCAGAAGGTCATAGTTCGCGGACAACAGACTTGGTGGAACTACTATTATTGGGTGTACAAGTCTTGCACACAGCAAACTCGTAGTCCCAACAAAAAATACCCCCTAGTCTCTCAGAGAGTCTCTGGGTGAGGAAAAAGTAAGACAATGACTTTTAACACTATATGAGGGATGGGTGGAAATGCAGAGAATTACATAAGCCCCCTGTCCACACACAACATTTTCCGTGATTAGCTATACCGTTTCGCGATAGTGATACCGTTTCGCGATAGTTTTACGATAAAATTGTGTGTGTGGACGCTCACTAACGATACGTCGTATAACGAAACTAGTCTAACGAAACGCAGGTTTGGGCATCGTTTCGAACTGAAACTCAATAAAGAATCACGCCTAATCACGGAAAATGTTGTGTGTGGACAGGGGGAGTGTAACTAGTGTAACTAACTGGGCGGGGCTTAACGTGACCTCGAGCGAAAGGAGACCAGACTGTAGAGTTTCAGGATTACTTTCTGCTGTTTATGGACATCCTTGAATTTATACGATGATTATTTATATGACGTTTCTTGTGTGTGGACACTTTGAAATTTATACTATGATTCTTTATACGACGTTTCGTTATAGAGTTTCGGAATAAATTGTTTTGTGTGTGGACACGCTGAAGGACCGTTTGTCATAAAACTGAAGGCTAATCCTGGTGATTGACTACACCTGTTCTTGGGTAAACACCCGAATGGTGTCAAATTCCATGACAGCCCACTACTATGCATCATTAATCAAACTGATACTCTTGTCATTTAACTTCAGGTATGGACTCCGGATGATATTGGGAGACTTACATACCTCTTTGGTAACAACTACATTGGTGTGGAAAAGTTCCTTGACCTAGCTTCAACAGGAAACTTCAATGAGTACTGCCTCGCCTACACGTTCGCAAACCGTGATTTTGCTAATGGAGTTCTCGGCTTGGCATGGATTGCGAGTATTACAAGTAAGTTTAAAATCGGAAGATTGATATAAATATTGATATATCAAGAGGTGGTGTGGTGCAAACAGATCATCGTCCAGATGACTTGACTTACGTCATGCGCGTGGGTTTAACTTGCAAAAATGCAAAGGTGATTGTCACTGCAACGTGTGTAAGCGTCTACCCCCCTCTGTTCTTAATGAAATAAAGGCATATTAATATCGAAGCAAGATGATTTCATTCTCATTAATCAAGACTAAATTTTAGAATTGATACATTGTAGGTCTATACTTTCCAGCACATTTTTTCCGCCATAATGATAGCCTACTGAAGTAAAATGTAAGGTACCAAGATATTCTTGCTAACCGTTGATCTTTCTCTTTATATGTACATGTATACTTTATGATTTCAAGTACCACTTGGTAGGCCTATCCCTTCTGGTCACAGTGAGGACTAAATGAATAACAGAGCTTAAAGGTAAAGACCAGTTTTGGAAATGCCCCCCTCTCAAAAAATGAAATGGAACCTCTTATTACCAATCATGTGAAAAAAAATGTTTTGACTAATACGTGATCATACAAATTTTGCCAAGAAACCGCCTACTAATTGATCTATTTGGGAAATTATTATATCTATATTTGGACCTGATAGATATAACGCATGTGTCGCGCACGTGTGCGGTGTCCCATATACATCTTTCTGTGTACAGTGCTTGTAACTTTACCAAGACTGGGCCAAATTTCTTATCATTTTGATGATTCCATAACCTTGCAGTACACACCAATACTTATATGCTAGATGATCAACCTTTTCTGATCGATTCCACAACATTTCTTTCACAATGCAATCGCATGACCATAACTGGTCTTTATCTTTAATTACCATCATTACTGTACGTATATGACAGAATAAAGGAGAACTACTGTATACATGTTTATTTAGGACTTCACTCACTCTCAAATTCTTATGTTTGATTATTTTCAGGGAGAAGCAATGGTGGTTTATGTGACAAGCAAACCTCAAACGGTCAAACGCTGAACACAGGAATCGTGACAACAAACAATTATGAGGCTAATGTACCCCCTCTTATCTCTCATCTTACTTTTGCCCATGAGATTGGACATAGCTTTGGCTCTCAGGTAAGCAATATGCAAGCCTGATAACTTCCTGATTCATATCGATTTTGCTATTTTTTTTCCCCCAATTTTTTTTTTTTTTTTTTTTGAGGGGGGGGGGGGGGGGGGTTAATTTTTGGTAAATTTCTTTTTTGATTTTTTATTGGATTAAAAAAACAAATTTTTTTTCTCCAAAAATGGATAGTCCCTGAGATTAATGTAAATCCGGTGCCTTTTTGTCATGAATTGCTTGGATGCTTTGTGTAAGCCTGGATTTCGAGAACCTACTTTTTTCAACTCTCACTGAAACCTTCCATTTTTACTCTCACTATCACCCCTGGTTTATACTTTTTTTCCTTCGAATTGTAGGAACTGCAAGAACTGCATGTATGTAGTTATGCAAGATTTGAATTTAATTTATATTGAATTTGATTTCTATATCTCCATTAAAAAAAGATATGTATAAAACACAATATCCTTCACAATGTACACGTTGATATTGTAGAAAATCTGTTTTTCGTTTTTATACTATAGTTTTGCTAATTAAGGAATGTAATATTTGAATACAACAAACCTTCAAAAACCTGTGAGGGGGTTGTCACTTCCGTCACCTTCGGCTCTCTTGTTTACTATGCTTCCTCGTCCCTCGCATTTCGTCTCCCCCCCCCTCCCCCAGTCATGAAAAGAAATCTCGCCCCTTGTTATACAAACAGTTAAATTGAAATTCTGTAATTCAGTCTTTATGGCTCAAGAAAAAGGCCAAATTAGTGTCGTTGGGGATAATCTTGTCATGTATCACCCAATTTGGATTTTCTGAGATAAAAAAATGTAATATATGTATATGCGGGTAGCTAAAAAAAATAAAGTAATACAGTCACCTAAACCCCATACAATGTAAATTTAACAAGAGTTTCTTAAAGGGATCGTTTAACAATGTTAAATCTGAGATACACGGCCCTACGTGTTATCAGTGTCTGTGATATGGTGTAATATTGAAGCCCTAAAAAAATTGCGCTTCAAAATGATCAAGAAGTGCCTCAAAAAAGTAAAAAATCTTTGAGTGACCGGTTTTACCGTACTCGTTTCCCCCAATAGACTGTAGTGTTATGAAAACACGTCAGGCGAACGGTTTTCAAAATTTGTAATTCCAATCATAAATATCTTGATAATCAGACAGGCGATCGGCTTGTAAAAGTCATGGGGTTTCTGACTGACCTAAAGGTTTATAATTATCATTGCATCATGAGCTAAATCCAGAATTTTGTTTCAGAATCTGAGACAAAGTGACTGGATCCCTTTAAGGCATTGGATATATTTGTGGGGGGGGGGGGGGGGGAATCTTATTTATATATTTACACCTATCATTGTATAGTTGGTGGTATTCATCTTTCCTTTCACTTGTCTTTGGTAGCATGACCCAGCCACTGATTCATGTTCACCCGGTGGTAGTATCGGTAACTACATCATGTTCTCCCACTCCTCGGACGGTAACCTCATCAACAATCAGAGATTCTCTCCTTGTAGTGTGTCTGCCATCTCTACAACACTCGGCACCGTCTTCCAGGAAATCAGCAAAACAAACTGCTTCAAATGTAAGTCTTGACCTTTGAACTTTGTACCTGTAAGGTCATTATGACGTATCGTCTGTTTGGAGCTGGAACTTCCCTTCTGGCTCCTAACAGGTAATACACCAGTTTACGGTTGTGTGCGCCTTTTTTAAACAAAGCCAATGACCTAGAGGTCATGTATTTATGCGTAAATTAAGATTGCGCCCATGCAAATTATGATGACGTCACTGCCTACGCGCTGCGTTATGAGCGCACATCATCATTTGCATGGGCGCAATCTTAATTTACGCATAAATACCACTGACCTCGGGTCATTGGCTTTGTTTAAGGGCCAATGACCCGAGGTCAACTGTCTGCGCATGCGCACTGATACAACCGTAAGCTGGTGTATGTAATACAATTCCAAGAACAAGTTGAGACATATTATGATAGTATCCTTGATCTTTGGGTGGCGTATGGGAGATGTTTTATTCTGTATTCAGTTACAAAATGCTCTATTAGATGGCTCTGTGGGGCATTTCTATATAAGTTTGTTGATGTTTCATTGAACAAATCAAATGAAGCGGATGTAGCCGTATGATTGCAAGTCAAGAAAAGTGATTATATAAACCTCGTTTTCAGATATTGTGATTGTGGAAGGGTTGTCATGAGTATCATCATCATATATAGGCCCACTCTGTGATAAATTTAAACCTTGTTAAATCATGTAAATTAGGAGATGGGTGTACACTATAAAATAGAATAGTAACCTTGAGCAAAGAAATACTAAAGCTGTTTGTCTTGCACGTCAAAATCTTTTTTTCTATGTCGAGTGGTAGACGAAAGCTTCAGTATTTCCCATTTTTTCTAGGCTATTCTATTAAAGTTACTGATGCATTTTTTTAAATATTACTCCTTGTCAGTAAGAGAAAAACATACATCAGAACATTGGCAATGAATTTGCTACACCGAATAGCTTGCAGTCATTTTTTTATCATAATCATATTGACCTTTGATCTTACAGCTAAAGCAGACATCACCTTCTGTGGTAACGGTATCACCGAGGAAGGAGAAGAGTGTGACTGTGGATACGAGGAGGAATGTACACACAGCTGCTGTATACCCCAGAATTCAGACTTCACACAGGTCAATGCTTGCAAGCTAGCTGCCGGTGTAGAATGCAGGTTGGTATATATACTTTCCCTGTTGAAGAAGCCTTTAGTAACCATCAGATAGCTACTAGCCACATCAAAGTGTAATCAATGATTGCCATAGTAAACTGTAGTACTAAACGTCATAAAATTTAGATGCGCATGTATAATTGAATGAAAATATACAAAAATGAAAAGTTCTCACAAAAATAAGGCAATTGTGATTTATGATCTATTTTCTCTATTTTATGTTGACTTATTGTTTGTAATATGCTTTGTGTTGACTAGAAAGATATACTCAAAGGGTAGTGAATTGGTTGAGGAAAAGTAATATGAATGAAACTCTTTTCTTTGTAGCATTTTCTGCTGCATACACAGGAAACAACTCTTTTAAAATTGATGTTTGGAAGATTATGTTGAGATTTTCATAAAAAGCAAAATACAAGGTAATTTATATGTGTTAAAATTAAATTCATGAAGTAAATATCCACAAATGAATGGCATTTATTGATTCTATCATTTTTTTTGCTATACATTCGTAAAAACATGTTTCTTTTATATATGTAAGATGATATTCAAAGGATGGACATTTCAGCTCTATAGTACACATATACCTGCAAAATCCATGCGATAACAAATAATTTAATGACTTAATTTTGATTCTCTCTTTTTGATTAATAGCCCAACCCAGGGTACATGTTGCGATGCGAGCACCTGTTCCTACAAAGCAAGCAGTGCACAATGTGAACAGAGCGATGAATGTCATGGAAAGGCCTTCTGTCCTGGAGACTCATCGGTGTGTCCTGACCCCACTCCTGAGGCAGATCTGACCCGATGCGATGGGGGAAGAAAGCTCTGCAGAGATGGGGTAAGTGTACTCATATATTATATATGCTATCATTATCTAATAATCATGTAACAATTTACATGTTTATTGGCCTTCTCATTCTGTGCATGTGAATGATGATAGCACAGGTTTCATCTTTTGTGAAATCTAGAAGAAAAAATAGTGGAGACATAACTTTGAAAGCTTTTGAGTGCTGACTGACACAAACACAAACACCATGGACTTAAAACAAAATGGAAATCAATGGTCAGTGTTAATGATGTTTTCTAAATAATATTAAAAAATTAAAACAAGACCTTAATCTTTTCATTCATGCACACTTTAAAAAAGTTGTGTCATGGTCAAATTTATTCAATTTTTTTTAGTGATCATGCACAGCTTTGAAATCTATCTTGAATTCTTTTGTCTTCTGCAGGAATGTACAGAGTCTGTGTGTCTACTTCAAAATCGTAGGGAATGCCAGTGTACAGATGAGGTTGAGCTTTGTGATTTGTGCTGCCTGGACGACAGTAAGTCCAACAAATTTCTCATTTCCAGTCTGATTTTAATGTTTTATATGTACCAGTATTCAAAACATAGGAGAATTTATTCTCCAATATTTTTGTTATTTACCTGTAAGATAAAATAATAAACCTAGAAATGTAACAGAATCATAGTTTAAACAAGAAAAGAAACGTATCATTAATGATAGTATAACGGAAGATTACAGAAACAAAACAAATGTAAATGCCATTATTCAAACAATTTACTCAAAGCAAGTTATAGGTGGAGCTCACACGATTGATAAAAAAGGGATTTTCATTCACACATTTTTTGTATTTCATTTCTATCTTATCAGGAACTAATCTTTGTCTGAGTTCATATAGACTAGGTCTACCTCCAGGCCAGTCGACGCCATTGAAGGCAGATACCGGCTCAACGTGTGGTGATTATATGGGATACTGTGACGGTTTCAGTGAATGCAGGCAGGTAGATGAAGACGGTCCTCTGGCTAGCATCATCAGAAAGATCTTCTACAGTGAAGAACCTCAACTCACCGACGCTATCATGGCATGGATAACGGTAAGAATATTTGTTTATTACTCTTTATTAATTGTGTGTTTCAAAATTGGAACAACTTTAAAGACACATGACGTCTTCTCGTAGTTGTTCTTCATTAGAATGTGATAATTACATAGCATATTTAAAAACAAAAATAACAACACATTCAAAAACTTTTCTCTATTTAAGGAATCAATTAAATGCACTTGAAAAAGATTGCATTTAATCTTCTTTCTCCATTATTTTCTATTTGTACTCTTACAGATATTTATAAGAATTCTGGGTGTTCATTATTATTATCAGTTGGCAATATAACTTCTATACTTTAACAGAGTTTTACAAATATTAGTTTGTTAATTTTTAAAAGATAAAAGATAACTTGGATGTCTAGGTTTGCACCTGTTGGTCGGTAGTGGGGACGAGAACGAAGATATTGTATGTATGATTGATAGAACGGCAGTCGTGTCAATGACTTTTGCAGAGAATATGTAGCTGCAGATAAGGTTTAATTGTGAAGAAAAGAATTAAAGGCTGTCTACAGTAGTTTGGCCAGGGGGAATTAGACCGACCTGCAAGGTCATTGACAGGTGGTTATCTCATCAAGTCAGCTCTCAATAAACATAAGAAAAAGAGGGACCAACAGGCACAGATTAGGCATTGTTTGCTGTATAGAGGGCGCAAGTAGCTATAAGTAGTGCAGGGGGCTTTAAATGGCGATGATTTGAAAGGTAAGTTTAGCATCCAAAGTGTGGCGTCAATGATAATTCCTAAACTGGCCCCATCTTTCTCTCGACAGGAGTTCTGGTACGTCCCCCTGATCATCGGCATCGCGATCATTGTCCTGATGATCCTCATCGTTGTCCTCTGTAACCGAGTCATCCCGACCGATAATCCGTGGGACCAGGAGGTCGAAAAGTTCAAGAAACGTTCCAGCGTCTACGTCAAGCTGCAACGCAAGCGTTACCGTGGCAGCATGGCTCCGGGGATGCACCCCACCCCCGTTGAATCGCATCCTGATTATACTATAGAGGACAGGGCTACCCCATTCTAGCTCTTTCGTTTGTTTTCTGTAGAATATCTGCTAGTTAGCATACAAGGTGTGTGAACATAATAATATAGTGTCCTATGCTATCCTAGCTTTAAAAAGATAGTGTTTAGGTTTTTTTTTAACATGATGTGCTTGTGATGAGATTGGACATTTCATGCTCTTATCAACTGAACGAGATAGATTGTCGTGCTGAAATTAGAATTAATATTGAGTGGTAATTGCTTTCCCTTTCTCCCAGTTAGTATGGAATAGATCTTGTCAGTACTTTAGTATTTATTGGTAGAATCAATGAAGTGTTTGGCTTCATTCTCGAGGTAACTGGTTGATTGAAATTTGCGTAGGACATCCAAGTCAGTGCTTGAACATAAAGTACTCCATTTGGTGTGGATAAGCTGTATATCTAACACAGCCAGTGTTCTTGAAATCAGAAAGAGGTGACCTTATAGTCGGAGAAGCATGATTTGTCAAACGTAACTGTATCAATGATGTATTCTAGGTGAAATATGGATATATTTACTGCCTTTAAACACTTGTATTTATTGACTTCATTTTGCAAAAGCCAAGGCTATTGTAGTTTGGAAATTGGCCAGTTCAATTCTCATAGATGTATAACAATTATGTATGCTCAATATTAGTTTAGAAGGGCTTTCAATACAAAATATTTATACAAAAAAAAAAAAAAAAATCAGTATTTTTAGGATGTTTATAACAGAGGGAAAACATGTGTGAATCAATTGTGCTAACAAGTATTGAAGAGAAATTAAAGTATTTAGAAAACTTATCAAAATGGTTGAAATAGGTATGCTAACATTTTCAAGGGCAGAAGTAAATTGATGTTACTTTTTTGCTACGCCACTGTGAGGAGCACATTTTCGTAATGTTTTTGTAAGGATAAGGATATAATATTTTATATAACGATAGTGCCTTCATGAATGTCTCTCTGCATTAATAACAGGCTGAAGCAATGGGTAGAACCAGGAGGTATTTATTACACCAATGCAATAGACGAGGAGACATTATTTCTTTAGATCAGCTGAAAGAGTATAGTTATATACTTGTGCTATTTAATAGTTGCAAATATTTTCATGCAATTACCATGTACATTTTTGAACATTACTATTGTATCTGAATGTAGTGGTTCTCTAGTACTAACAAATATACTTCTATCATATAGGATTGTCTTTGTGTAAGCCATACCTGGTATATGAAATGGAATGAAATGTTGACTGTTAGTGATGATTATGAACTTTTTTTCATAAAAAGTTCAAACCAGCTGCAAGAATTAGCTGCTATATTATTAGCCCTAAACTTCTCCTATTTGTTTATAATGGCTGATTTTATTTTGCAACAAGAAACTTTAAAAAAATGGAACATTTCAATGTTATCATTCATCAATGTCATGGCTTGAAGCTGTCGCAAATTTAGGCTACTTGCTTAATTGTGAAACTCTCTTGCAATCTATTTTTTTTTCCTTGGGGGGGGGGGGGTATTATACAGTAATTCATCTCTATGTTCTCTTAGGTATATCAATCCACACTATACAAACAAGGCTGAACAAAAGTACTAGTGATATTTAGATTCTAGAATAGATTAGAGATGCTGAACATTAAAAAAAATCCTATATTATAAATTATTGTTCATTTATCATTTATAACTTTATATTTACATCACTTTTTGTATTTTGCTTTAGAACATGTGCAGCAATATCCTTGCTTATGGCAAGGGGTTTAACGTACCTGTATCTTCTATAATTCTCTGCCATTATGTTGTATTTCTCAAGCAGTACTGGGATGGATTTGAGAAATGTGAAATTTTTGAAAAAACTTAATTAATAAATTAATTATTCTTTTTTATTGATGGGTTATACAATGTACATGTAAGTACTCAACCTAGGTAAGTGAAAGAAATATAACTTTGTATATTTGTAGGAAATTGTATATATTATAACTATAAAAAAATAGTTAAATGGAAACAACTGATCAAAGTATTAATATATACTTGACTGAAGTGTTAACAAAATTGTCTTTCATACTACAGCAAAAAATACAATTTAGATGGATTTGACACATGCATGTGCCTTCAACACAATTTAAATTGTAGGCCTACTGTGCACTTTGTAAGATGAACATTTTTATGGACTATAAATATATACCTGTATAGATAATTATCATAAACTAGTGATCTTTCATGTGAACTGTAGTTTTTTCCTATTTCAAAATATCATGGTGTAATTATTTTTCTAACTTTCCAAGTTGATATATATTTATATATTATTCATGTCTTTCAGATAATAATCTTCTTTTATAATAATCTTGTATTGAGTAATTTCTTGCTTTGATCAAGCAGTGTACTTAAAAATAATAAATGATTGACCTTTTTGGATTTACAGAAAAATGTTCTTTTGTTTCGTAATTTCAAAGTTTTCAGATAAGGATTTAACAGATGAGATTTATGGGACACTTCTAGAAAAGGTGGTGTGGAGAATGTCGCTTTGACATGAAAGATAGAAGGAGAAGAGGAAGAAAAAGAGTTCTGATATACAAATAATTCACATTTGCGGGTACATTGATGAATATGTACTGCACGCAGGTTAATCAGAGTTGGATAATGAATAAGATAACCGAGTGCAATTCACCAATGCACAAGCTTCAAAAAAAGAATTGTTTTATAAAAATGGGTTGGCAATATGAATATATAGTAGAATAATAAGAACAAACCCAATTAAAATGCCAAGTCGGGCGTACAGTCATCATGTCATGGACACCGCCATTTGTTTTATGACACCACCTATTTTAAGGCGCAGCCATTAGAAATGGGGAGCATTTCACCTAATGTAGTAAATGCCAGAGATATATATATATATATATATATATTTCACCTGGATGCAAAGTTTCTTCTTTTTGTTTTGGAAGAAGACAATAAATTATATATTCTATATTCTATTATATATGCATACCTGCATCTTAGCCGTGGTTTATCACTTTTCAATGACAACCTTTTTTTGGACGGTAGGCGTGGTATGAAAGAATGGTGCACCATCACGTGTTGTCATTTTACCAATAAGATTGCCTACATTCTATAACAGTATATATATCTAAGTTACCATTACTTGTAGCAACTCAGTTACTGTCATTCACTCACTCAATAATACACTGAAAAAATGCAGCCAGAACAACTTTGATGAAAGTAAAATTCATGACATAAATGAATATGTGTATTTAAATGAAGAAATGTTTTACACAAGTATCAAATACATACACAGTCACCTATACAATCTAAATATCTACAATCTCATTTTTTAAATTTCATGATTTTTTTTCCCTGTAAGAACTACAATTTCATAACATCATGCATTCTGCGCATCAATAGTATAAAGAAGATATTAAATGCAATAGACACAAACTTAGAAATAATTCATCGAAAAGGCACATATTTTGATAAAAATTTGATTCAGTTCATACGGCTGACAAAAGAACCTCACTGATATTAACTGATATCTGTCACCACTAACCCAAAAAGAGTCGTTCAAAAAATTCACATAGTAAACACAATTTTTTGCTTTAAAAAATGTGATATCTATTTTATGTCAAAATTGCAGGCATCAAAATTATATTTTGTACACTGTCAGCCTTGTCTTATAACTTTGTTGCGAGTCATTTGAATCGGTCGCAACTGAACTGAGTTTGATACCAGTCACAACTTCTAACCTAAGAAACGGGAACGTTGTTACTTTGTGATTGATGTGAAGACATGAGATCAATTCGGATCGATTGCAATTTTGGTTTTAAAGCATCTGGGTTCTATAATAATAGTAATGACAGGTCAATTTATAAAACGCAGCTACTACCTTTATCTGAATATTCTCTACTGCGATTAATACAAGGTATATTTTTACCCTGACTGTAGCTGAGCTGCCATAATAAGTGGCTAAAGCATTCAAGGAATATCTTCCTATCAGGTACCCATTTACTTCACCTGGGTGGAGAGTGGCAAATTAAGATGAATTTCTTTCACAAAGGACATCAGTGGTGACAACAGCTTTATTGTGACAGGTCAATGATTGAAGAAATAAGGATTTCAATATAAACATTCCATCATAGCATAATGAATCAGAGACTATCAACATTCTAATTTAAACAATTACAAATATTACACACAATATCCTATTGATATACACGTAGACATGCAAGTGCCAGCCTCAGTATTAACATGCTATAAAAAGAGAATATCTGAACAAAACAAAAAATTATATCATTTGGTCTAAAGCTTGAAAATATACCACTGATTAGAAATTGTGTATTATAACTTTCTATGTCTTTTTCTGAACTATTGTGTCTTTTTTTATGTGAAACTCGTTTAACATACCTTAAAGGGATCCGGTAACTTTGTCTCAGATTCTGAAACAAAATTCTGGATTTAGCTCATGATGCAATGATAATTATAAACCTTTAGGTCAGTCAGGAACCCCATGACTTTTACAGGCCGATCGCCTGTCTGATTATCAAGATATTTATGATTGGAATTACAAATTTTGAAAACCGTTCGCCTGACGGTTTTCATAACACTACAGTCTATTGGGGAAAACGAGTATGGTAAAACCGGTCACTCAAAGAGCTCATGATGCAATGATAATTATAAACCTTTAGGTCAGTCAGGAACCCCATGACTTTTACAGGCCGATCGCCTGTCTGATTATCAAGATATTTATGATTGGAATTACAAATTTTGAAAACCGTTCGCCTGACGGTTTTCATAACACTACAGTCTATTGGGGAAAACGAGTATGGTAAAACCGGTCACTCAAAGATTTTTACTTTTTTGAGGCACTTCTTGACCATTTTGAAGCGCAATTTTTTTAGGGCTTCAATATTACACCATATTAAAGACACTGATAACACGTAGGGCCGTGTATCTCAGATTTAACATTGTTAAACGATCCCTTTAAGACTTATTGTTACTATGTATGAAAACTTTGATTGTGCAAGTTGAAAAAGGAGGATACAACAGAATTATGAAAAAACATAGAAGATGTTAAACGAGCAGAAGTAGGCAATTATAAGCCCAACTCTTGAAGAAAGAAATAAAATAATTAATCTATTGCATTCATCAAAAAGAGTCTTTATCAGACTAGAATAAAATGAAAAATTCATATATACACACATGAAATAGAAAATACATCAAGCTCTAAGGCTATCAAGTCTCAAAACATGATATACCCCTACATTGAACACAATTATCAGACATGCTACAACACTCATAGGTTTTTCAATGATTATTTCAATATATTTTTTAAATTACAAATTATTTCCTATCAACCAAATATATTATCTATTCTTTTTCTTGTTGTTAGGATAGCTGAAATGTATCTGATACCCCCCCCCCTTCTTCTTGGTTTTCTTTCAAACTGAATTAAGAAATCATTCTCTAACTTTGCTTACAAGTATGTTTATCATTCAATTTTTTGAATTTTGATAAGTTAAATGTTACTGCTATTGCAGTGACAGTGACTGTGACTAGTATAATTATATTGACTGCTATGAGAGGCATAGCTGTTTCTATAGGCTCAAGGGGACGTTACATCTTTATACCGACACGATTCTTTTGAACCACACATTATGGAATACAATTACAGGAAGAAAAGACAAGATGATATAGTCTTGGGCAATATTTATGCAAATACCAGCAAACACACACACCACAAATATAACAAGAGTTGATTCTATTATGAAAGAATATACGGTTTACAGATCATTGAAACAAGAAGATATATTTCAAAAGAAAACTTATTGTTTCTCCCAATGTTCAAAATACCATGCTCATGCAGTTAATGGGAACAATACGAATTAAGCTGTTTCATCTATTGCTAAGTTGGTTGCCAGACTACCACTAGACTATTGCTAGATCATGCCAAACATACAATGACTAGAACTAAATACAATTTTCTTTTTCATATTGGTAGTCTACTTGGTAGGATACTATTTGAATGGAAAAAAGAAGGAAAAAGTGCTGGGAAGGAGCTGTATTTTTACAGAAACTCTATTGCTCTCTCAATTCAACAATATATATATAAAAGTATGCTTTGATTTCATTTGGGACAGCAGTAAGAAAAAACTTGTGAATGCAACCACTTCCATGAAAAAGCATATATAAGAAAGAGCCACGTTTTGTCCATAATGATGGAAATATATGATTCGTGCTTCTATAGCTTAATAACAATGGTAATCATTGAAATGCGAAGGGAGAGAGAAAAAGAGAGAGAGAGAGAGAGAGAGAGAGAGAGAGAGAGAGAGAGAGAGAGAGGGGTGAGGGAGAGAGAGGAAGAGAAATTTGAAAGCTCCAGATATTCATATGTATACCAAATAACATTTTCTAGATATCTAGCAAATCATAAAATACCAATAAAAACTTGCAATGTATGTTTCTAAGTCTCTTCAATTCATTACAAACTACACAGTGGATAACATTTAATTTAAATTACATGATTAAGCTCTTACATAACTTAAGTACTTCAAACTCAATTGAGATGATGTAAAAATCATTGCAATGTACAAAATAAAATATATAGCAAAAAATACCTAAGACTCCTATTCATAGATATTCCAGTAATTCATGTCATAAACAAAATTAGTAAGTGCGTAAATAATGTCTCCACAGAAAAATGAGGAATAATTGTCACAAATCAAGCAGGCCTTCATTTTTTCACACTAGATTGTAATCAAATATCAAAAACTTTTTTTATAAAGGCCTATCACATTTAATAGATTTATAATCAATATATACCCAGTGTTTCAATTATTCACTTACATGACATGATTCCGCAGTTGTATGACAATTGAAACTTATACATAAGTTGATTACTTTGATAGACTTTGAGTATTAGTGAAGAAGCGATAATACTCTGGAAGTAGCATTTAATTAGAAATCAAACAAGGCTAGTTCTGTTTATATCTGAAAAATATCTACAGTTTAATAAAGTAATATGAAAAGTCAAATCTTTTGTACAAGAAAAGTGGAGGGTGGCAATCATACACTTTTTTTTATTTCATTTTATTTGGTTTTCTGAATATTCGCGTTGAGAATGCTTCGATTGTGGGTCACTGCATTTATTCATCAAAACCTCAACATTAATCCATGTTGTGCTAATGGGAAAGAAAAATCACTGCAGCCATAGTCTCTTTTAAATTGAAATTCTCTTATATCACCTGGAAAGTGTCATTAATTCTTGGGTGATAAAATGAATGATACATGTAGTATCCATTATTATCTGATCAGAGAGATAAGTATACCCACTGCTGAGGAGTCTGATCAACGGAACAGCATTCTCCAGCACACTACACGAGCAATGTAGATGTAATTCTTGACACTGGCCCCTTGTTAAGAGACTATGGTGGGGGTAAAACTCTGATAAAGAATGCATGCTAAACTCATCAATAAAAAGCTTATTTACGGGATTTATCACACTGTGAGATAACTTTCAAACCAATGCTGAGTGAGCAAAGAGTCGGCTCCTGTCTCAGCTCAGGACAAAAACCTACAGGTCACTAAAGGTTGAATCAATTAACCCCCTGAACAAGGGTTAAAGGTCATAAAAGGTCACCAACTATCCTTGAACAGTGAGTTAATGCCCTTTCGGCTCCAAACAAGACATCTCCAATGGGTTTGAACCAGACCATGCTACTGCTCAGCACTCGTCAAGTTATATAAAAGATAATCAATTTAGCAATGTACCCGAAGGAATGAAATATCACAACACATATTCCATCGTAAGATGATTTTGAGTATTAAAAATAACATTCCTCAGCACTACATCCTGACTTATGGATCCTGCTGAGTATCGTCGTAGAAGTAGAAGTAACAACAACACTTGTCATGAAATTTATATCAAACAGGTTTGTTGCTACGAAAGGGTATGGAAAATACTGCACACCCTGTGGATCAATCATTGATTTATCATTTAATTCTAAATCTTCAGGAGTATAAAACATTCATTCCTGAGCCCATAAGAAAAAGTTGTCTCTGATGAGTTAACCTACACCTAGAAATGAATGACGTAAAATTCTTGACTATTAAGTGCTCTATATTGCTGATGCGTTATGCCATTGGAATGTCGGAGTGAGCGGGTCGAGCCCCTTGTGAACGTCGTCGTCTCAGGGTGGCTGCCCCGGGTACACTACGAGCCTTAGGGAGGTTAGGGTTACTGCTTGGAGTGTGGACGCTGCAACATTTAATGAAGAGACCCATGAAGATGATGACTCCGAGGACAATCAGCACTGCAGCCCACCAGTTGGCCTGCAGAGAGAAAAAGAAGGAAAAAAAAGGAAGACGTGGACGTGATATTTTGTTCTCCTCATGTTCAGAACCAGAAGGAAGTTTAATAAAACGTTGCAATAAAGTATTTACGTAACACCCTAATGGCTCTTAACAGACGTATTGAGAAGTCGGAATTATGGGCTTTCAAAAAGTTTGGGACTGTCCATGCTTAACCATTATCACTGCCCAGAGAGAGAGTGAGAAAAAGGACGAAAATACTTGTTTGCAAATACAAGATAACAAGTATTCCACAATGTTGGTAAACATTTATAAGCCACAAAGCACATCTCCTTCATGTCCTTTATTCGGTTTTAGACTGTCTAGACGCACTAAGAAACTTACATCATTTCCACAAACTCTGTGATCTTGACTGACACTTTGCAGTACCCTAATGTAATTACCTGTAATATTCAAGGTATGAACATGTTATAATACTGCAAATTTGTCTAAACAAAACAAACTCCTTGACTGTTCGGAAACTCTGTGGGAGAATATATCGAAGGGTCAGTGACTCAAAGACATAACTCCATTAAGGCCATAAGTGGTTAATGTGTCACTGAGCACTTGGGCATTAAGGAGTTAAGTCTATGTTTCCCTAGCCATTGACTTCAATGGAGTGTTGGGTGGAGTTAAGTCTTTATGTTTCCTGGAAAGCCCATATTTACGTAACTCATATTTTTCTGAACATTTTGATATCAAATACTCATTTTGGCAAAATATGAAATTACGTCTTTGTGTCACTGAACCCTCGATATGAGTTAATGCCCTTTTGGTTCCAAACGGACATTCTTACCACTCAAACCATGAATATTTACCTGTATCCATGCGGCAATGTTGGAGTACAGTTCAGGGTTTAAGATTGCGTTGGTGAGTCTGGAGAGTGGGCCGTTGGAGTCCACGTTGCGACACTTATAGAAGACATCGCAGTAGCCTTGGTACTCGTTGCACGGAGCTCCCGGCATCTGATACAGGACCTTGACGTCGGTGGTGCCCTCTTGCGCATCCTTACCGTACATTCGGACATGGTCCTGCATCACACCAATGTCACGACTAGAGAGGCAGGTAGCAGCTGTAGGGATGAAGGGAGGGATCAACTTGAATCAGAAATTGTTACGACAGCATTGTAATCATTGAGACACATGGTTAGACCCTTCAATTACGTCCGAGTTGATTCAAAGATATTTTCAGGTCAAGGATAGTCTCTGAATTTTGTATTTTCTGATTAAATCCTTTCATCATCATCATTGGATGTTTGATGTCCTTAGTGGCCTTTCTCCAAGGCTCCTTGTCTTCAGCAACATTCTGGGTGAGGTCGGATACTCTCATGACTCTCTAAAAAGGGTCAATAACATTTAGTCCAAGTCCAAGATCACTATATATTATACAGATATTGACTGCCTAGAGGGGCAATATAACATTTGAGATCCTCGAGGGAGTTATATTTTTGACGAGGGACATTATATTTTTCAGAAGCGCGTAGCGCTGTGGAAAAATATAGTATTCCGACAAGCGAAAACAAATTTGTTGCAATTTCACCATTTTCACCACACTTTACATCATAAACGAGGGTCATTTTTTTTCGAATTTGTTTTCCCCTTGAAATTATTTTTTCTACATTTAATTTTTTTTTAACCGAAAAGTGCTTTTTTGGGGACAGAATTTTATTTTTTCGATTTTTTTTTTCCATAAGAATTTTGTTTCTTCATAGGATTTAATTTTTTCATTCTAAAATTTTGTTTGTCCTCGAGAAAAAAAAAAAAAAAAAAGGAAAACAATTTTGGGTCCCTAAAAAAAGGACCCTCCCCCCCCCCCCCCCCCCTCCTCCAAAAAAAAAAAATCAAACCAAGGCTATGTTATATAACAGATATTGACTGGCAGGGGGTATATATTTTCCCCGAAGCGCACAGCGCTGAGGGAAAATATGGTCACGAGGGAAAATATAACTCCCTTCAGCGGTCCAAATAATGTTATATTACACCCCCTGCCAGTCGATATCGTTATAATATTCACAGGTAATATAATTCATCTGTTCAGAGCCAGGAGGGTATTAACTCTGTGATAAAGGATGAGAGTTGAACGCTCTTCTGACTCTCAACAGACCACATGTAGAAAATGTTGACAATGAGCTTGCTAGTATGAAAGGAACGTTGTTCTCAAGTCCAACTTACAACTATTTGGATTCTGGCAGCAGAGATGGCATGCTTCATCGAGTTCAGTGTTTTCAGCATTAGCACAGAAACATTCTTCCAGACCAAATTTAGTGCAGATTGATTTCTGGCATTCCTGGCAGGATTAAAACAAGAAAAATATGATCAACAAATATCATAGGAATTATGGACGATTTTCGTTACTTGCATAGATTTGAATTCTTCAGTTTGCCCTTTTGTATCCTACATTTGTAAAATTAGTACCTCAATAAGTTGTACATATGAGTAAACTAATTTTTTAAATAAGAAATATTGGCATTCTGCCTGTACCTAAAGTACATCTCTAAGAACATTACGTTATTCACACTATAAAGGAATATGTATGTTTCTGTTTTTAATTAAATTTATTTGTTTATTTCTACATACTTTAGAATGTGGACAATATGTTGCTTGTTATTATCTATGAATGTAAGTTATGCACAATTCAACCTGTTTCAGTGCATGATTGTCTTTAGTAACTTTTTACTTGATACTTGAGGGTCTCTAATGGAGCAAATCGCAGTGAGCAATTAAGAACTTTTACTTGGATTTTTACTTTTTAATAACATGACTTATTAAAGCATAAAGCGCATTCAAGATCTGTGTAACATAACACAAAGATCACAGAGTACACATAGAGGCATTTAATGTAGCCACACTATTTTCACATGCCTCTGATTTTGCTGTGATGTTTCATTGTGAGGTGGTATACCTCATAAAGGAAGGCTAAACGATGGCAAAAGGGAGCAAACTGAAAATGGGAAACTTATCCCAGCTTCTTTGGCATAAAATTTGTCTTCTCTCATGAACACAAAGCATTTGTTGAAGTAATCCTCACAATGAATTCACATGCCATGTTTGAGTAAAAATCAAATTCATCAAACAGATTGTTAGGTTAAGGCCTTCATTTCAGCTCTGATTTTGCTGTGATATTTCATTTCGAGGTGGTATACCTCATGAAGGAAGGTTAAACGCTGGCAAAAGGGAGCAAACTGAAACATGAGAAACTTACCCCAGCTTCACAGACTTGTGTGTGCTCATTACACTCTGTACCATCAGCCTTAGGTTGAGAAGCAGGACAGCCTGCCATGTAACCAGTGAGGTAGGCAGTCAAGGAAAATATTCACATCACTGAATTAGTTAATTTAGATTTCTTGTTCTTCAGAAATCCCCTCAGTTTATTTGAAATTAGTTCTATCTTGCTTATGTATTTTTGGTATGAAATTAGTCTTCACTCATTAACACAAAACATTTGTTACATCTATACCCATTTACGCATAGTGCTGAGCAAGAATAGGCCCACATGCAGTATAAGCGCCCTAACCTGTACATGCACTACTACGCATCATGTACACGCATTAAAAAAAGCGTGCAATAGTACTAGAAACTATTGCAAGCTTTTTCATGAAAAAAAACGTGCAATAGTCTCAGTAAATGATTCACACGTGACCGCGCATGACCAATCATTTGATTAGGATCTAGGAGTGAGTTGTATAATATTCAAATGATACACAGCAGTGATGGCATTAGTAAGAATTACCCACACGAGGTACCTTCGGAACAGTCTAACACGCCTGAGGCAATAGCTGAGGGCATTTGGACTGTTTTAAAGGTAGTGTGGGTAATTTTACTAATGCCTGAACAAAATGATGTCTATTATTTGCTTTATAAGATTATCTGGGTATGCTTTATTTGTTTTATAAACTGATGTTTTATAACACGATTTTGATAATGACCAGTCATTACCATTGGATAATGACCCGTCATTATCCAAATTACACGTTAGGCAAAATAAATGCCTTGTCACATGTACGCTTTCAACCATTCATTTAATTAGGATACACATCATCATCTTATAATATGAAATAACTTATAATTGATCATAACTTGAAGTCGATTTTACACCTTAAAGCCCGTCTGCACTAGTTTGGCCAGGAGGGATTAGACCTCCCTGCATGGTCACTGACAGGTGGTTATCTCATCAAATCAGCGCTAACATAAGAAAAAGGGGACCATGGGGGACCATGTTTGAATAAAAATCAAATTCATCAAACGGGTCGTTAGATTGAAGGCGTTCATATCTTGATTCTCATACCCCCTCCACTTTCAGAGAATTAGAAAAGACAAAACTGAATCTTGCATGGTTTATAGAAGTCATCGGATAAGACAGAATAAAGTAATACTCAAACTGCCAAATTAAAACCATAATACTGTGAAAACTCTGAACTGTAGTCATTTTACATACACACTTGGGATTGAGATTTTGGCTGCTGTTCCTCAAAATCCCTGATGTGCTGGTATAAAATAACTTACAATTGATCATAATCTGTAGTCGATCGTACATCTTAAAGAGACGGTTGAATTCTGGGAAAAGGTGAACAATAATTTGTGAGCATTATCATTGTATTATGCAAGTGTGGAAGAACATATGTGTGGATAAAAATTATTCCCTGAAAAGCATGGCTTTTCAAATGCCTTAATATTCTAAATATGGCATTGTCATGTAACATCATAAAAATCAGGAAGGATTTTTATGCCACATGTCCGTGTAGTCCCATATACATCTTTCTGTGTTCAGTGCTTGTATCTTTACCAAGACTGGGCCAAATTTCTTATCATTTTGACGATTCCAGAACCTTGCAGTACACACCAATACTTAAATGCTAGATGATCAACCTTTTTTGATTGATTCCACACCGTTTTGTTCACAATGCAATCGCATGACCAGAACTCTACTTTATCTTTAAATATGAAGAGAGCATGAGTCACGTCTATGGGTTTCCAGGTAATACAAGAGATATATATTGGTAAAGGATATGTACAGTATGACGAAATACTGCATTCTGACTGAGCCCTGCACAATGTAACATTAGCAAACTGACAACCTAATGTACAGCATGGCCCTTGGGAAGGACTGCAAGATAAGAATGACCACACAAAAGAAAAAGAAAACACAAAACAAGGAGATTAGCAGCTGAATCTTCAAGGGATATATACTGGTAATAATAATAATAATAATAATAAGTGGTATTGATAAAGCGCTTTTCAACAATGTTTTAAAGGAGCTACACAAAGAAAAATTCAATACAACTGATAATTAGAACAAATTACATATGGATGGAAAGGTTTTCTCTTGAAAAACACGAATAATTTGCTGAGAAATCATAAAGATATCATGGAAAGGCGTAAAATGCAATTTTTCAAGACCCTTCTTACACCCCCGAACGCCCCTGAACGTAAGCCAAACACACGAGCGTAGCGAGCTCTGAATAGTGACGTCACACACTGGACACACAGCTCAGTACCCGCCGTCTACCAGAGTCGCGCGTGTATTAGTCTGCAGCTAGCCAGCCGTGTCCCGTGTGTGACGTCACAAATATTGATGCTCTACAAAGGACCGCTGAAGGCAGAAAATCTGGATCTCGAAACTAACATTTTTGAGAGAGAGTTGATTACTGCGGGCCCCAAACATATTTTGAAGAGGAGAGTTGTTGCATTTGATCAGTAAGGCTTCCCCTTCGCAATGATATGAGTTTTGCATCAATTAAAAACACTTTTCATTCTTTGTGTGTCTACTTTAAAGTGGCGTACAATAAAGAAAATGATAATGGAAACTTTTACAGACCATTATAATGCAACAGCAATTACTCACATAACTATACAGCTTAACACTGACAATGATCAAATTGCGTGTATAGAGAACTTAGCATTGAGTTTATACAGAGAGTTTTTAACATGGATTTGAAAGATGCAAGACATCTTCCCTGAAATGAGTTGGTAGCTGACTCACATGTGCAGTGGTGAATTTGACCCTTGCAATACTTTCCAAGCTTTGGCCAACTGGATACACAATTATCAAACAGCGCCCCCATTGGCAAGCCGCGATTGGCTAATCTTTCAGCTCCCGGGTCGACATCTTTCAACCAATGCACTGCAGCATAACGCTAGCCACCGATTGAAATGACCAAAGTGGTCGTAACTATGTAAATTCATTCAATGAGATTGATTGTTTTGATATCGGCGCAAATTTTTACCTCGGATAAGCTATTCGAACCTTCCCCACCAAAACTTCTGATTTATCACTAAATGCCCTTATTATCTCTCAGGGTATATAATAATGCCACAGCTGCTATTTTTTGTTCACTTTTTCCCATAATGAATCACATGAAATTAACTAAACACTGGTGTCGCTAGATGGCGCTGTAAATGAATCCACCGTACTGATTAATAAATCAGTTGATTGCCACAGTCTACTTTCATCACAGGCACGGTTTATATGTACAATACAATATACTTTAAACGATGTTGCAGGTAAAGGTTTTGAACAAAAGAGAGTATAGAGTTAAATCCTACATGCATTAAAATGTTTACAGGTTTATTCAAATACCTGCAGCTGTGAATGGGGGTGAAGTCCATTCTTATTTGTATTATTATTATTATTATTATTTTTTTTTTTGGGGGGGGGGGGGGTATTGTTAAAGGTGATACCACAGAAGGGTTTCTAGAACTTGTCTTCACAGGTCATTCAGAATCAATTACACATTCAACTCAAAAACATAATCATTTTAGATACACAGATAAGTACATAATCTATGGCTCTTTAGTTGCTGTTGTTTTAATCAGCGTTTCCAATTATCTTCCATATCAAAGGGATCATTAATAATATGAAAATGGAATCTAAGCCCTGAGATTATTTTGAAGCTTTCAACATATTTCCAACTGACTAAATATTGACTTCAGATATTTATTCAATTCAAGTTAGTTTATTCAAGCTGGAGCATAAACTGATAAAATGACAGATGAATGATCTATTACATTTGTGCCTCATATTACATGTTTCCTGTTCAATAATTGCTAATTACATCTTATATTATCATCTGAAGAATTATCTGTATTCATTACTATGTAAACAAAACGAATTATTATTTTATGATTTGTGGATAATAAAGCAGAATTTTAATGATGTAAAATACAGAGAGAGAGAGAGAGAGAGAGAGAGAGAGGGAGAGAGAGAGAGGGAGAGATAGAGAGAGAGGGGAGAGAGAGGAAGGAAGAGAAGAAGAGAGGAGAGGGGGAGGAGGAGGAGGAGGAGGAGGAGGAGGAGGAGGAGGAGGAGGAGGAGGAGGGAGAGAGAGAATGCCATTACTTACCTGCACTGCATTGCGTTTGGTGTTAGCATGCATGTAGCTGCTGTACAGCATTGGTCATCGCACTGGTCTTCATATCCACAATCACACTCCTCCTCTCCATCTACAATCAGATTGCCACAGATGGGAAGGTCGCTCCCTACACACACACAAGGATTGAAACAGTCATTTATTATTACATCTACAACTCTATACAGAAATGATGAATGGACGGAAGCCAGCAGTGGTAAAAAGATGGGAGACATAACAAGAAAATATGAAAAAATACAGATTGAAGCAGAGAGAAATGGGAAAAATGTCATTTATTACATCAACAATTCTTCAAAGAAATGATGAATGGAAGAAAGCCAGCAGTTGTAAAAAGATGGGAGAAATAATTAGAGAAGATAGAGAAAAAATACAGATTGATGCAGAGAGAAATTAGCTCATATCACCCAAAAGCCCTGAAACTGTTTGACAATAAGAAGGATGCAGGGCAGCACAAGTTAATTGCAAAATTATGCAATATAACATGGCCTTGTAGATAATACAATTATAACTGAGTGCAAGAAATATTCTTATCGTTGCCCTGTGAGAGGGGGAATGTAAAAGAATTGACATATATGGCCAATGTTACAATGATTTTCATTATGTTTATACAATTTGAAGAAAAGACCCAAGTCATCATGGTTTACCTTTTCAATAAACCGATGCCTGAAACCCGTAGGGCATCCTAATGCCTTGTCATGAGACAGTGTGGATTTTGAATAGACTTCGTACATACATAAACTAGGCTTGAGCAGGTCAGAAAGACTATAGAATTTCATTTTTTTTTCATTTTTTTTTCTGCATTGATCATTGGACTTTTTTTTCTCAAAAAAGTGAATTTCTCTGATTGTTTGTATTCTTTCGGGAACGTAAGTTCATGTTAGCGATCACGATCGTAAATTTCACCTCTTATAAAAGGGGAAATTCTTGGCATCTCTCTCACAGGCAAAAGCCATGTTTTAGGTACTGTATGTCACCGTCAGAGCCGAGTTGACAAACTGAAGCGACTCTTTATAGAATTGTTTATTAAACATATTCAGATTTTGGATCAGAAGTATGCATAAAGTATGAATATGTTATTAAACCCGTCTCCAAAGAAAAATGAGAGTAAATGGAAACGGATAACAATCAATGTAATTGGCAAGGGGGGGGGGGGGCTTGATGGAGATATTGATTCTTTAAAAAAATGTTCCTAAAGGTCAAGAAGAAGAACTTACGATCAAAACACCCTCCGTTCTCCCTGATGACGGCGGTCATGTTGGCGATACTGCAGTCTGAAAACTCATCATTGAAACGCTTATCTCCTGACGTAGCGCTGGCATACATGATGTAGTTACCATCGCTTCGTGTGTTAGGATTATCACCTGGCCGGCATCGTTCAGGGTAGTCATGCTGTCGGTACAATCACATTCATTCAATACATAAGCTTTCAGTTTTAATATCACCACTCCTTGGGGGGGGGGGGGTATACAAAGATCATAAGTTTGAACTTGTCTCTAAGTTGGACTTATCTGTTAACTATGATCTTTAATCTATGAACATATTTTGTAAAAGTCATTTGAAAAGGCATAAAATGTTGATTCAAATCATTCATATTTTCTATTATCAAGGAGATTTCATGTTCTTGATGTGGAATTTATAAAAACTCTAAAATACTTGACTTTCGCTTTTTTAAATATTTTATTTTAAGGCTACAAATGGCTCTCCATAATTGTTCAGTCCAACTAAGAGTTAAGTTTGACTTGGGATCTTTGCGAAACACCCACCCCCCCCCCCCCCAGGCTTTCCTATTTTATCTTCTGAAGCATATTCTATCTCACCGTGTTTCTCACAAATTTACATTTACATTTTCAATTGAAAAGTTGATCATAATCTGATTGTCCCTTTTTGAACGTAAAGGTTCTAGTATTTCTAACAAATAAAATTATACTTTAAATTTGATTTGATTAAATCTACAACCATACATTTTTTTATTATGTTTTTTATACAATGTTATGTATTCGGCCTATCACATCCTGAATCATGTGGATATGTAATTATATTATTTAAATCTTGAACATTCAGTGTAATTTTAGTTGGATTCTGTGAGAATTTATTTTCTATAGTTACCAGACCTCAAGTTTACCTTTAACCCGTGTTTGAAATTACGGTATACGAGTCAACACCCTTATAGCCCCATACAGATCATTTTGTTTTTGTTCCTGTCCAACGGTACTTACAGGAGAGCCAAAGTTGTGACCAAGCTCATGAGCGAATGTGATGTGTGAGACTTTGCTTGCTACAGTGGAACCATAGTTCTGGATGGTGACAACCCCGGTATTCAAACTCTGATAGACGCCTTGGAAATTAGAACTCTTCTCACAGATACCGCCAGATGTACCTTGATGGGGGAAAACAAAGATAGACAGACAGAAAAGAGAGAGAGAGAGACAGACAGAGAGAGGGAGGGAGGGACAGAGAGAGAGAGAGATAGAGAGACAGAGAGAGAGAGACAGAGAGAGACAGAGAGACAGAGAGACAGAGACAGAGAGAGATAGAGAGACAGAGAGAGAGACAGAGAGAGAGAGAGAGACAGGGAGAGAGAGAGAGAGAGAGAGAGAGCAGGAGAGAGAGGAGGAGGAGGAGAGAGAGAGAAAAGGAGGAGAGAGAGGGGGAGTGGGGAAGAATTGAGAGTTAGAAAAAAGAAAAGAGGTTTGGAGAAAGAAAGTAATGAATAAAAAAAAATTTAAGATGGCAAAATGTAATCTTCTGGATATCATGTAGCCAAGATGCCATAATAATACTTGACATAATCCATATTTGGTCAATCTAACAATAGAAGACAGAGAGATATAACATGCACATCAAGTAAACACTTCGCATCATGTGCTACCAGCTTCAGAAAAACTTGATCTAGAGTTTCATGTTTTTGGTCCTCAGGACTATCTTAGTTACATATGCCTTACCAAAACAAGTACAAAATGTTTGGTAATGCACATACTGTCAATTAGCATTTAGTTGTAATATAGACACAGTTACTATAATACAAACAATATTTTTGTTTTTCCACGGAAGTGTTTCACAGAGACTAAGATCAACTTTAAATTGGACTTAAATATGGCAGGCCGTTCATGCCACTGTTTGCTCTCACCATTGACTGGTATTGGTCTCTCAAAGGGACGTACAAATCATGGTCACAAATCTACAGAATTTACATTATTTGATAATTCATTATTGAAGGAAAAAATATTATCTAAAGATCGTAAAGTTGAGAGCAAACAGTGGCGTGAACGGCCTGCCATGTTTAAGTCCAACTTAAAGTCGATCTTAGTCTTTGTGAAACACTCCCCTGAGAAAGACAAGACAATTGCCGACTTACTTCCAGTAGAGCCAACCCAGGCCAAACCCAGAACACCTTCGTTGAAGTCTCGGTCTGCAAACAGGTAGGCTAGGCAGTATTCGTCGTGGTTCTGCAGTGAGTTGAGTTCCAGAAATTTCTCGACACCAATGTTAGGGAAGCGGAAGGGATTGGAAGCATCAGCTTGTTGGGTTGTACCATTAACCTAGAAAACAAAGATCAAGCACACATCTTTAATTTTTAAATAAATACATCTCCATATTCTTGGCATTTAGTTTATAAACTTTGGAGGAAAAAAATGAAAAGTTCCGGTGTAAATCACATCAATTTTTATTTGTTTCTAAAAATAGCTTAGGGCTCTGAAAAGTCCCAACTCCATCTATTGAGTTGTGATAAGTAGGATGTGTAATATTATCTGTCAGACATTATTTCAAGTTCAACAATCATTGAGTTTGAGAGAAAGTGAGAGGGAGGGAGGGAGTGATAGATAGGGAGGGAGGGATGCATGGTGAGAGGGAGAGAGAGAGAGAGGGAGGAATGGAAGGAGGGAGGGAGAGAAGGAGGGATGCATAGTGAGGAGGGAGAGAGAGAGATGGTGAGAGGGAGAGAGAGTGAGAGGGAGGAATGGAAGGAGGGAGGGAGAGAAGGAGGGATGGATGGTGAGGAGGGAGAGAGGGATGGTGAGAGGGAGAGAGAGTGAGAGGGAGGAATGGAAGGAGGAAGGGAGAGAAGGAGGGATGGATGATGGGGAGGGATGGATGGTGAGGAGGGAGAGAGGGATGGTGAGAGGGAGAGAGAGTGAGAGGAAGGAATGGAAGGAGGGAGAAAGAGAGGGAGGGAGGGAGGGAGGGAGGGAGGGATGGATGGTGAGGAGGGAGAGAGGGATGGTGAGAGGGAGAGAGAGTGAGAGGGAGGAATGGAAGGAGGAAGGGAGAGAAGGAGGGATGGATGGTGAGGAGGGAGAGAGGGATGGTGAGAGGGAGAGAGAGTGAGAAGGAGGAATGGAAGGAGGGAGAAAGAGAGGGAGGGAGGGAGGGAGGGAGGGAGAGAAGGAGGGATGGATGGTGAGGAGGGAGAGAGGGATGGTGAGAGGGAGAGAGAGTGAGAGGGAGGAATGGAAGGAGGGAGGGAGAGAAGGAGGGATGGATGGTGAGGAGGGAGAGAGGGATGGTGAGAGGGAGAGAGTGAGAGGGAGGAATGGAAGGAGGGAGAGAGAGAGAGGAAGGGAGGGAGGGAGGGAGGGAGGGAGAGAGAAATGGAATTCTATTACATACCCTGATTCTCTTGATAAAGAAATTGATGTCTCTGATAGTTTCGTAGTTTGGATGGGCAAATTCTGTGTCTATATAGATGGCGTTGATAGCTGAAACATGGTTGTTGAGGTTGAGAATGACCTCTGACACATCATTGGAGTAATGTGCCGTGTAGGTGTGGTCGGCCTGAAGATACAGACTGCAAGCTTTATTTTCACTGTTGTATACGGCACGTCTGGTCCGCTCGGGTGCTGTGTATTTGTTCTCTGAGGCTCCATGAGCGACGTTTTGCCAGTTGACGTTGGCTTCCTGGCGGGGTGCAACAAAAGTTGAAGTGACATGAGACTGAAATATGAAACAGGAGATCCTCTCTCACACGTATGGTATATTGTAGAATACAGTATTCAATTATTTTTTTAATAAATAATGTTGTATTCTTGGATCTCTTTATTTAATTTCTATGACATGTAGGTTTCTATGTCATTCAGTAGTACTACCATATTTGCCAGTGTAAAGGCCGCAGTATTTTTGGAAGAGAAAATATCAAAAAGTCGGGGGTGCGGCCTTTACGCCGAAACAGTAAAATCGCAAGTCAAAACAGCACGTCCATTATTTGTAGGCAACTTCATACAAAAAAATATATTAACAAAATTGACTTGAAAACACATCGGACAAGATCTAGTCTGAACCACGTCAGCAGCAAATTCGAAGAAGTTATCTTTTTAATCGTTGTGCAACCAAAGAAATTAGAAGAAAACTGACCAGAAACTCATACTAAAAATCGTACTTGTAAAAATGTCCTTAGACAGCGCATGGCCCAGTAACCAAAATCATACCTCGCTCACACACTCTGTGGTGGGGAGCTACGGGGCTGGGAGTTGCTAACAAATCCAACGCATCTTCGGAGATTCACAGCGCGCAATCGTCGGTGTTCTTAACTTTTCAGTAAGATAATTCTGATTTATAATTGAGACTATCTAATTAATTAAAGCGACAAACTAACCTCGGTAGATCTCTAATAACAATACAAAAACTTGTTTATTTTCTCCATTAGGCGGTACGATAGGGGTAAGACCGGATAACATTATATGGCCACAGCTTGGTTATGGCAGGATTATATTAGTGCCGACTCACTGCATGCAAGCTAAAGATGGCCATTCAGGTTTCTGTATGCATGCGAAGCGCCCTCTAGTGTCCAATGAATGTGCTAATCTGCCTAAAAATTGATGAAGATTTGCTAAATTACGATCATTTTTTAGGTAAACTTCCTGTAAATTTATAAATGATTGATAATTTTGGTATTAGTTTGTAGGAAAAATAGAGTTCTACAAGAAAATTACGATTATTTTCTTTGGTTTTTTTTTTCCTTTTTTTTTCTCTCTACGAAATGTCAAAGTTGGGGGTGCGGCCTACGCGGAGGTGCGGCCTTATCGCCGGTAAATACGGTATTCATTGCCAAGTTGCTTCTTTTCAAAGCCATCACCAAGTTCTGACAGGAATAAGGAGATATGAATGAAAGACATGTACGTCTGAATTACTGCAATAGTCACTAGTAATGGCAATGTTTCTTGTTTACCCAGGGTAGCCTCATAGGGGATAATACTACTCCCCGCCCCCCCCCCCCCCACTCCTGAAAAGTCTTGAACTTGTATAGTTACCTGGCTTTAACTAAGCTATCAAGATGAATAAGGTGCTAAAGCATTCAAAGAATTTCTTCCTGATGGATACATAATTACTTCACCTGGGTATAGAGAGGCAAATGTAGATTAATGTCAAAACATTAACTGCCATGGGGGGACTTGAACTGTAAGCCATGTGATCCACAATCTGGTGACGTAACCACTATGCCATCACGCTTCTACAGTAATATGCAGGGTAGTAACTACTTATGACAGAATAATGCGAATCATGTTTGTACCCTTTTCTCTCTCTTATTGTCGTTGTCGACTCTGGAGTTCTGGATCTTATTCATCCATTTAGACACCCGATCATTAAGGCCACACCCTCCATTATCAGGGTGTGTCACGTCAGAGGCTTTGTAGATGACCGAATGAGATTCTGCGTCCGGGAGACTGGCTTCATCCAGGTGGTACTTGGCTTGTTCTATATGATACTCATCATCCTCGTCATAGATGACACCTTGGAACATGCCATTGGTGATACCTCCATGAACCTTACTCTTGGGCTTATCTGAAAGAGATCATACACAAAACTTAAGGTTAAAGCCTATCTGCACTAGTTTGGCCATGGTCACTGGCAGGTGGTTATCTCATCAAATCAGCTCTCAATTTACATAAGAAAAAGTGGACCATGGGGAATCAACGGGTACCACTTAGGCATTGTTTGCTATATAGAGGGCGCAAGTAGCTACAAGTAGTGCACTCCTGCTTTAAATGAAGGGCGGAGTGCAGTTCTAAAATCATTTCACTATTTGTATAGTCCTTTTCTATTTCATATTATAGTTTTGCTCTCTCATTATCACATTGTTTGTAATACATATATGTATGGGTCCTCCTCTTCCCTGAGGATGAAAAAGTAAAATCAACTGTGTTTATACAAGAAGGTAAATCATATACGCTGAAAAGGTCAAAGGAATGAAAGAACAATTATGATTTAGTAAATTATAAACACAGCTACATTGTATTTTTGCAACAATTGTATCAATTGATGATGAAAAATTCAATTAAATCAACTACCCTCATGTACATACATTAAACATTTTTCATGTATCGATCTCCAACAAAGAAAAAACTATTCTTAATCTTTTATTTTTAATGAGAAGTCTAAATCAGTGTGAAATGTACACATTCTTTGATAAAACAAGGAAATAAATCCTGAACTATATATATAATAATATTTCCTATCAATTTCTAAGAAAATAATCAATTAATATGAGTCATACTTGGAGACAAAGCCTATCAGAGAGTATATTAATGACCTCATTCCCTGCAGGGCCTTCCAAAGAGGATTCAATCTAAATCCACATCATCCAAAGAATAGTATGATAGAGTGACATTTAGTGGCTCGGCACAGCACTTAACTTAATAACACATGCACTTTAGGCAAGGGATATCATCCGAGATGCGCCACATTTGTGGAAGAAATCCAAACAAATTGGAAGGGACCTTTTTTCCTCCCCAATCTAAAAAGCCACTGACAGTTACTAAAGAGTAGGCCATCATTGCATGCAATACATGTAGTTCACTTTGTAGCAAACTCTATATAAGAGCATGTCACTAAAAACTATTTATGGTTGACCAACAACAAAAAAGTATATAAAAAAGTATCTCTTTAATAATATGTGACTTTTTTTAATCAAAGGAAGGGATAGGTTTAGAAACAAATATCGCATTAGTCATGTTTTCATGTGTGTTTTGATATGAAAACAATTTGCAGACAAATGATAATGATAGCATAATATGTAACTGATGATTGACATCTCAAAATCAATTCAGATAAAAGGATGAGAATACATGTAGCTAGTTAAAAATGCGGGGGAGAGAAAGAGAGGGGGGTAAGGAGGGAGAAGTGAACAACAGTAGAGACAGAGAAGAGACAGGGGAGGGGAGGGAGGAGAGGGAGGGGAGGAAAGGGGGAAAGAGGTGTGCTTGAAAAGCATTGTTTGCTTGAATGTTTTAAATCATGATTTCAACTGTAATTCCCAAATCACAAACAACTACATGTATGTATTGTTGTGGTGTAATGTGTCATTCAGGTTCCGTCATAAAAACCTCTATCCTTCACGGTGACTACACCCAGGAAATGCTTTGAAACCGACCTCACTATAAACATGGCTAGGCCAAACAATGCAGTCAACACAGTAAATGCCATAACAGTGGAACAACCGACCAGTATACAACAAGTACATTAAACACCAAAATTATTCAATAATTTGTAATTTTGTAAGTACCGGTATGTGAATAATTGATTCATCTCGATTTATGTTTCGTGAGAATGTGACATATTGAAGCTCACATCTAAAAATTATTTGACAGAGGCTCTACATCTAGTCCACGCTCCATTCTAGAGTTAAAAATACACACACACACAAATCAAATTTACAAATTTATTTGTTTTAAAAATCAAAATATAGTCTCAAATCCTTCATTTTAAAAGAAAATTTCTAAAGACACTATAATAACTAGATGGAACTTCGACTGCACGCAGTCGAAAATGATGCCTCTGTCATAGAGCAATAGAGCAAAACAAAAGAAATTTTTCAAATTCAATTTCAATTGTAATCCATTAACAGGTTCTCAGAATATCGTGATTGCAAGCAATTTCTCATATACATACATGACCCTTTGATCTTTGACCTCATGACCCTAAAATCTACTCAGTTCATTGGTTCTGCAAGATGTCCTGAGTTAAATAGTAATCCATCTGTCAGTTTTAATGAGAATGCGTTCACAAGCTATTTTTGCATACATAATGAGCCCATGACCTTTGAACTTTGACCTCATGACCCAAGAATCTACTCAGGTCATTGGCTCTGCAAGATACATACATGATCTAAGTTTGGCCCACTTTGGCGGGAATCCATCAATCTGTTCTAATGATAATGTGATCACAAGCTATTTTTGCATACATAATGAGCCGCATGACCTTTGACCTTGACCTCATGACCCCAAAATCTAATCAATTTATCGGATCTGCAAGTAACATACATGACTAAAGTTTGGCAGGAATCCATCAATCGGTTCTTCAGAAAACGTGATCACGAGAATGGGAAGTACGGACCTACGGACGGACGGACGGATAACCCGAAAACATAATGCCTCCGGATACTTCGTAACGGAGGCATAAAAATGTTTGTATGAGCTACAATGTACATGTACATTGGCATGGCCACAATTCTCCAAGAAAGTTGACAAACCATGGACATAATTATTGTGATGTAATACTTTATAGCCCTGCCAAAATGCAATGCATGAGTAATATTTTCTATTGTCTATGGTTAAATACCATGAGTACTGCATACATGTACATGTATAAAATTCAGAATGTTAAATCAGATATATTTACATGTACATGTACATACATTTGAGGAAGGGAAAATAACAAAAGTCATTAATTTTTTTTTTATAAAGACCCGTATTCCCATCTAGCATACAGCAGGTACATGTAATAGGACCTATAAAGTCTCAAGAAGAAAGAGGAAGATAAATTTTGTTTACCGGTATATCGCAGGTCCGATTTCTGAATACTAATAAGCCCATTCTCTTTGATCCCGCGCCATGCACCAAAGCGGGAGAACATGTTTTCTTCCTTGAGGCAACAGAATTATTGAGATGAACTTCTCCAGAGGGTATTGCATAATGAAAACGATCCTGCTTTCTTTTATCTGCCGGTATCAAGTGCGGCAGAGTACTTTGGAGTAAATTAGTCTTGTACCATGACAACGCAAAAGGAAGATATGTACTGTATCTCTGCAACTTATTCAAAACAATTTACATATAAACCTTGTAGTTTTCCTCTAGATTTGAGTGAGAACTCAATATAATTTTGTCATCTGCATAATGTGAAATTTTGTGATTTACATCCACTGAAGAATGATCACAGAAAAGTGATCCCATGACACGTGTAACCAGAAATATTATCTGTTTAGATATGAATGATAACTAATTTTAATAATCGATTTATTCTTTAATCTTTATGTTACTTTATCCAGTGAAAGTATGCAAACATGAGATCTAAATTATTTATGTCAACTTGAAATAGGACCTTTAAAATACTCAATTAATGTTACATTTCTATTTATTTCCTCCCCTTCCTCTAAGTGAGATAATATGTATAACATGCAAATTAGAAATTAAAAAATAGATACATTGTATAATTAGGCTTAAATGTATGGCTAAGTACAATCCCCAACCCTTCACTATAAAATAGGGACTCTGGCTCTTCCTTGTCACCTGTCTTTGCTCCAGTGATCTCAAGGCAGCAGACAGCAAGAAGCTGTGTGAATAATCACTTGGCTTGAGAAAGGTCACAGGAGTGGACCAACGCTTGCCTACTGTGTTAAAGGTAAGGACCAGTATTGGAAACGCCCCAATTTCAAAAAACGAAATGGAAGCTCTCATTACCAATCATGTGAAAGAATATGTTTTGACTAATACATGATGATCAAAAATTTGCCGGGAAACCGCCTACTAATTCATATATTTGGTAAATTTGTTTCTCTCATGGTCTGTGAGAGATATAGGGTAGTCCCATATACATCTTTCTGCGTATAGTGCTTGTAACTTTACAAAGAATGGGCCAAATTTCTTATCATTTTGATGATTCCAGAACCTTGCAGAGGCTAGATGCTAGATGATCAACCTTTTCTGATCGATTCCACAACGTTTCTTTCACAATGCAATTGCATGACCATAACTGGTCTTTACCTTTAAGGTTGGTATACCGGTAAGCTTAAACTACATGTACATGTAAAGTACAATCCCACTTACCTATATATCTTTCAAAAATTCAATGAAGTTATGTATTTTTGTTATTTTCTCCTGATTTTGACTACCAGTACTGGTACCGGTAAAAGAAAGGCTGCTTGATCATCAGTGTCAACAAAAGCTGGGAATTTTGTGGTTGGTAGTTCATGGATATGATCAATAATAGTATCCTGTTTACTTCCCCTGGTACGTGTATCTTAATTCACATTTTGTGAAAAGCTACTGTAATTCAAATTGTAGCCTTCTGTAGTAGCCAAAGTTAATAACCACAATGACTTCATGTGAAGTAGCACATATACATTTATCCAGTGTGTAGTATTTGGTGTATTATTTTTGTGCATCACGCATTAAAGTTACATGTAATGGGTGATACTGTGTATGAAACTAGGATTTTGGTGAAATTTCAGGTTTCATATGTTAATTAGTATAATTACTAAATATTTTGTCACATTTTAACAGATGTCTTTACTTATAAAGCTACACAGTATGGTAATGACATAAAGTGACCCACGTTATTATGAAATCTGACAAAATGTTCATACTAAAATATATTTTGTATGATTTTAGTAGAATATATATGTATAATAAAAGTAAGAATAAAAAGCAAAGGAAAGGAGAGAGAGAGAAAAAACATATGCCCCACAAAGAGAGAGAGAGAGAGAGAGAGAGAAAAAAAACATATGCCCCACAAAGAGAGAGAGAGAGAGAGAGAGAGAGAGAGAGAGAGAGAACGACCCCCCCCCCCCCCCCCCCCCAACTTCATGGCCAAACAATATACATGTATTATTCAAAATCATAACCTGCACTTACAAATTACCTCACATGTAGCCTAAAATCATCCCTTGCCAATTATTAGTTTATTTTTCTCTGTAAAACTATTGAATACCAGTAATATTTCAACTCTCTAGATGGTTTAATATTAGAACTTGCAGTTGCTTTTAGTTTGAGGGACATACATGTACACAACATTATGTTTCTAACTTCCTAGCCATCTTTGTACGAGTTGCTCTTTTGATGAATGCATTCAGGTGTGTCTTCCAGACCTCACCATACAACAGGTAGTCCTGCATGAGATCTCACAATACAATTACAATTTGTTTACCGTGAACTCAAACAGAATAAAATGTACAGCCAGATGTACAAAGAACGTGTACATGCATAGACATTTAGAGGCACCAAGGAGTTGTAAAATAACTCCTTGGAGGCACTGGCGACAAATCAGCCCGCTCAGCACGTCATTGATTTGCTTCTCGGATGAGATAAGAATCACTGTCGAAACTGTGGGTGACTCAAAGGGGAAATAAGACTTGAAAGACGGCATCCATCCCAATATGCCAACAAAAAGGCAAGGTCAATCCAGAATTTTTTCTGAAAAACACTATCTATTGTGCACGTTGAGCTACACTGTCACAGCTATAAATAGATGTAATGGTTTTTTTATTGATTCAAATGAGACAGGCTACACAATACAGGCCTTTAATATGTCATGTACCGGTACTTATTTTTGTGACATTTTGGTTATTCATGTATTTTAACTGTTTACTCATGAAATTTTACATAAAAATTGGTACAGAAGCACTGAAAAAATACAGTCTTACAAAGCTTGACAAAGGCCTACATGTGTGTGTACATTGCACACATAAATGCATGCCTATGATTTTTTTTATCTATAGACTCTATCAAAAAGGTATCACCCAACCCCAGAAAACAAAAAGAAGAAATAATGGTTACATTATGTTTTCTACACTTTCAAGAAGCTGCAATCAAAATTCTTTCAATGCAAAGATCAAAAGATATTGGAGTAGAACATACTGTACACAAACAAGGCCCTCGCGTACACAGATAATGCGTGGCGCGAAATTGTGAAAAATCTGAATATTTCGGATTTTCAGGTCCTAGAAATCCCCCAAAACAGAATATTCTGAATTATTCGTAAGGGTTGGCAGGTATGGTATTGTGTGCTTAGCGCAGCGCAGCGGCCTAGTCTGTGTGTGTGTTGACCTCAAATCAAACTTTCATTGACTGGTGTATAAATTTCATTTTGAGACAGAGAATTTATTTTACTCGAATATAAAGTAAAATACTTGCAGAAATTTGAGTAGACCTACTGCAATTTGTGTGAACATAAGAAAATGCAATATTTTGTTTAATATAAGGAAAATAATTACAGCTTTAAAAAATCCAAACAACTAGGATTCTCATTTTGTTTTCTTCGTAACATTGGATAACAAATTTCACAAATTCCAACATAGACAGATAGAATAACATTGATAATTTAGATTATTTAGTGCAAGGGTAAATATGACAATAGCCCGGAATATAATACCATGATAAAAATTCATTAAATTACTTGTGATACTTGTAAAAAAAAAAAAAAAAAATAATAATTAAAAAAAAAAAAATATATATATATATATATTTTTTTTTTTTTTTGGGGGGGGGGTCAAATTTTCCCCTCGGGTTGCGCCACACGTTTTTAATTTCTTGGCGAGAGGCCTGCCTGTACACAAGAGAATAGTTTAAAACTTCTACATTTAAACCCCCACACTTTGATTTTGATTTTTGGTCACGTGATGCAGGGGTACCCCATCTCTGTGCATCGCTATTGACTATGGATGTACATTGTACTGCGAAACCTGTCTATAAAGACCACCCAAGGGAGACAAGAAAGTGGTCTCTATAGGCAGGTCTTTTTGCACAGGTTCCCATAGTACATGTTTCAATGATGTATGTGGTTCTTCTTTACATACATTGTTATTCGCTACATGTAGGTATATTCCGTGACTGGCTTGTTTATTCACAGTTAAAGAGGAAGTCTTCCCCAATAATTATCCGCTATTTACTCTGTAATACAATCGTAGACTCAAAGTGATATTAATAACAATAGGTAAACCATGCCCTGAAGCAAGGCCATTTTATACTTGATATCACATAAACATTATTTAGTAAAGTGTTTAGTTTCATATAACATTAGAAAGGGAAAGGGGTTTGCCTGGTTTCAGGACTAGTTTCTGATTCCATGTAATGAGCTTCCTGCTGTATCAAGACAATTTCAAACATGATTCTAAAAGAAGGTACTATTATATAGACGGTTTAATTCTTCAATTGGTATTACTATTTGAACTAGTCAACTAGATACTAGTTTTAAAAGAAAAATTATTGCAAGGCTTTCAATAGCATTCATTACCTATTAAAATGAAATATCTTAAGGTGATTGGATAAAGGGGAATTGAGATTTAGTTATTTCTATTGCTAAACACTCTTCTTTTCAGATTTGAAGAGACAGTAATACATTACCATGCTAGCACCCATGGTCAGATGCAGCAGTTGGACGAAACTTGAAAGATCTCCAGGTCAGAGACTCACAAATCAAGACAAACTAAAAAAAACACTGCAATGTTAAAATATGAACAAATTTTATTTTCTTTTTAATATGTGTATTAAATTTTATATAACACTCTTTGTTATTAAAGTGCCTAGTTACAAATTATTTCATTCACCTGCTACGAATAATTGTGTTTCAGTAGTCAGAATGCGAATTGCATACACATGTATTCTGTGTTGTTAGGTAGGAAAAGTCATAATGTTTCTCCTACCTAGCACCAATTAATAAATGCAATTCATATTCTGACTGTTGAAATACTTTTATTTGTACCAGGTGAATGAAATAATTAGTAACATGAAACTTTAAAAAACAAAGATTTATGCATCACATTTGATCACATTACGAGAATGGTCTATTGAAAGGAGAGAGTATATTCCCCCCCCCCCCCTCTTCACCGACTGGAATGACAAATACACATGAAGCAAGTCATAGCCTTACCTTTTAAGTTTCCAATATAGAGGAAATCTGGTTTGTAGGGTGCAGCACCATCATCTGTTTCTAGTATGAGATTATGAGCTATGTATGGAGCTCCTTGACGAAGCCTCAGTTGAAAAGGTCTAGAAAGAAGAAAAAAAGTGGGAAAATATTGGCATTGAGCATCAGATAGATGAGATGTCATATATATTGTATGCAACAGTTGCAACTATGTAATCTATCAATAGAAAATATATTTCTTGACAAGGAGTATCAAAGGAAAGAACAGAAATCATATTTTTATAAAGACTTTATTTAGTTTATTATATATTTTGTATTAAACACAATTTGCACAACGAGACAGGCATCATATCAAAGAACAAAACCCACATTTTACCACAGAAAGAACAAAAATTCACACTTAGAACATAGATTGTAAGGAAAAGTGTAATGGTTCTGTTTACTTTTATTTTATAACACAATAAATTAAATTTTATCTTTGAAGTTTGAATTTTTTGAAATACTTGGAACCCAACAAAAAATTCACACTTAGAACATAGATTGTTAGGAAAAGTGTAATGGTTCTGTTTACTGTTATTTTATAACACAATAAATTAAATTTTATCTTTGAAGTTTGAATTTTTTGAAATACTTGGAAACAACAAAAAATTCACACTTAGAACATAGATTGTAAGGAAAAGTGTAATGGTTCTGTTTACTGTTATTTTATAACACAATAAATTAAATTTTATCTTTGAAGTTTGAATTTTTTGAAATACTTGGAAACAACAAAAAATTGCACACCTCTACAATAGGCACTCACTGTAAGTTCACTTCTGCAGGCAATGTCAAAACCAAAAGTACTTTTTATACAGTAGGTTAATCCTCTACAGCAATTAATGTTGAAGGTCAAGTATGAGCAAGTAGAAAGTATGAAATTCATAGGAGAGTATAATTGCAATATGATTGTAAAATGTACCAGTACAGGTGTAGGCAACTCTATAAATGCAATTTTTTTTTTCGAACTTCACAATCACCATCTAGAGATGATAAGGAGAGAGAAAGAGAGGGGGGGGGGTAAAAACTTGGATTCTTTATTGCAGTCAATAGCTGCATCTACACTGCAACCGAAAATCATTGATTTTTCTCACATTTAAGTGTTTCGCCAGTAGTTGCATAACAACTATAGCAACTACAAGCAAACAACAAAAAATTAAAATTAAAAAAATGAACCTCTGAAGTGTGGTTATTTGAAACGCCTGCCAAAGTTTCGATGATTTAAGCAGTGTAAATGTTGATAAGTTGTGCATGCGCACTTCTAAAAGAAAAATTGGTACGGACAAACTTGGACGATTTATAAATAAAATTTTCCAGTAGTGTAATTGATAGTCCGACTATTTTACGAAATTATGTTTGGGATGTGTAAATGGGCAAACAGATCGAGGACACCAGGTGATCTGATATTGTTGTTGTTGTCATTGTTTATTTTTCAAACTACTTCACTACCTAGAAGGAAAACACTTCGTTCAGCTGCTAAAATTGTGCAGATCTTCATCCCCATGAACTTTATCAAAGATATCTTACAAATTCAGATGGCTTATAAACAAATACCGTATTAACCTTAGTATTTATAAACATTTATAACAATAAAGTCTACATTAAAAATTAATGCTCTACATGTTACATACCGGTAGTCAGATGGTTCATAACTGATACTAAAACATTATGTAAGCATATATACATTCAAGATAGCTCCAATGTGCATGTATTTACAAGCTACTTGGAGAAGCGTGAGAAAATGTGTTTCGTCATTCTAGTGACACCAAATCTAAACTTTGACGAGGAAGTGTGGTTACAGTGAGTGAGAGGTAATCAATGCTAACTACATATTTGCATGCATGAGCAGAGAGCTGAGGCACAAATTCACGCTTAATTTAATCCTTTATCACATCACAAACCTACAAACATAGACGTACATGTACATGTACGTATATATATATCGTAAAAGGGATACACGGTCAAGCAAATAGTGCAGCACTGCATACACTGAACAAATACAAATGTACTAAGGTGTATTTTGGTAAAAAAGATTTAATGGAGCATTTTCAAAACAAGTTCATCTAGTACAGTACAAACTAACCATTTTCAAGGGTATATATACCAGTAGTAAGGAAAAACCTACATTATTGGTTGACCAGATTTATGTATTGCATGGACTACATTGTGGAGGTAATACAATGTATGCATTTTGTTATTTCCTCTTTAATTAGGTACTCTGGAATAAAGTGAGGTCAACTATAGAAATATGTTCTGGTTCTGAAATGAATATAGAACAACCTTCATATCTGGTCATACATGTCCTAACAAATCAACAACAACAAAAAATATCAATCAAACAGGCCTCAGCATCTATCATTTAAAAGATATCCAATGAACTCTGAAAATGTTATAAAGTAATTTTTCAAATATTGTGCATTGAAAAATTATGCATTGTACATGTAGTTGGATCATGGTTGAAAACTTGAAGTATGAACCAGGCACAAAATCTTGACCTACTTGAAGTTGACTATCAGCCTTTTCACACACAGCTAAAATTCTATAAACATGATTAGTTTAAAGGGCTTTAAACTAATCACCTGAACATACGACATCATTCACACACAGAAATTTCGGTGCGATTGTTAATCGTTTCATGATTAACTACTGCTCGTAAAATGCGCAGTAGTGCCATTGCGCATTGAAGGTCATGTCATATCAATCAAAGCGCACGCTCCATCCAGTTTAAACACGTCTGAAACACGTTTAAACACGAATAACCTTTCACACACAAAATGTCAAGCTCTCTAGATACGAACTTCGTATCTGCAGCCTGCTTATAGGGGCGTATGAATCGCGACTTTGTATCTATCCCAACATCGTATAAACGATGTTCACACAGGGAAAATTTTCTATAAACATGTTTAAAACTGTTGAGTTAAACACGTTTATACTAATCATCTCTAGATACGATGCATTTTAGCTGTGTGTGAAAAGGCTGTATGATCTATGTGCACTATCCACATTTATATACCTCTCTTTAGTCTGTTTATTAAAGGGATCCGGTGACTGTGTCTCAGATTCTGAAACAAAGTCCTGGATTTAGCTCATGCTGCAATGATATAAACCTTAAGGTCAGTCAGGAACCCGGTGACTTTTACAAGCCGATCGCCTGTCTGATTATCAAGATATTTATGATTAGAGTTACAAATTTTAAAACCGTTTGCCAAACGGTTTTCATAACACTACATTCTATGGGGGAAAACGAGTATGGTAAGACCGGTTACTCAAAGATTTTTACTTTTTTGAGGCAATTCTTGATTAGTTTGAAGGGCAATTTTTGTAGGGCTTCAATATTACACCATATCACAGACACTGATATAAACACGTACATGTACATGTAGGGCCGTGTATCTCAGATTTAACATTGTTAAACGATCCCTTTAAATCAGGGTTGGGCGGTAAATACCGGTGGAGGTAATTACCGTCGGTAAATACCGGTAAATACCGTCCGGTAAATAAGATGCACGTCCGGTAAATATGTAAAAAACAGGAAATATGATTTTAATTCTCTATTTATTAATAATTTTACTTGTTTTTAGCCCCATAACTGAAAATATTGTTCTGAAATAATTAGCAGCACAATACTCATAGTAGGAACACACAAACAGATTTATGCATACAAAATTGTACACACCCAAACAAATGGCATTTTGTGCATATGCTAATTAATAGGTATTCATGAATATGATAATTAGCAACTGGGAACCAATATTGTAAAGTTTAAGATATTTGAATAAAATCAGTGAAAATTTGAACAAAATCGGGCAAGGAATAAGGAAGTTAAAGCTTTTTGAAATGACTATTAACTAGAGGGCGATATTCAATTTGATGACATCCATGCCTTTTGTACATCAAATTTCATGTTTTTCCTTCTTTCTTGTGATTTAGATAATAGAATGCAAAATGATATTCTACTTCACATGTTGTAGCTTCGTTTCCGAGAAACCTTCTACAGGGTAATGATTAACGTAGTAAACGCACTAAACTGAATCATTCACACAAGACGCAGTCTCTGCAGTATAAACTAGCTCGTGCCTTTATTCAAGTCTAAACATCGACGACAGTCTCAATAAATCCAGAACAAATGTAGAAACGTGTAGTGGTAGTGATGTCGATAGTATATAGTCGCGATAGTGGATAGTGTCGTGGCAATAGTGTCGTCGATCGTACTGATAGTGTGGTTTACTGTTAAGACACAAATAAACAGTATAATATGTCAACAATAGATACATCATCATATAGTGTATATAATGCAATAATCATGCTGTTAATAATGGTTATGCTATTACATAACTCCTGATATAATCTTCTCATATTCAAGTAATGTACATCTTTGTAGAAATGCAACAAGTTCCAATGATCATTAAATCCCTCTTAATATCCCTTAGTTCAAGCTATCACTGCCAATTAAACATGCAATACATATATACAGTCTAAAGTTTTGCCTAACTGTAAGACAAAGAAACAAAGCACTAATCAGTGCAGTGCGCTTGAGTGCACAGTGCCCTAATTTGGCTGCACTCTCTGGGTCTTGCATTTACCCCTCACACACACCCTACTAAACTACATGTATATCAATCATACATGCTCTGCACACAGCTGTGTGTGTGTGCGTACACTAGAGGCTATATGCCTTGGTGAACAGAAACTTTCTAAACTCCAAACTAACTTTAACTCTTCTATATACAACTTTCCTCCTATTAATATAGCAATCAACTACTGGGTATGAAACTACAATTATTACTGTTTCAATCATATGTACAAACTCATTATAACTTGAGTAAGAATGACTTATAGAGCAACATATATTCTGGTAATATATCAGCTAACGAATACATGCTACAGTATACTAGCATTGTATTATATACAACATAATGAACCAAGAACAAAGGATTGGTACACAAGTTACTTTCTTCTTATAGGTTTGTCTCCTGTTTCTCACAATGTATGTAACCTAGATTCAGTATACAAGAATATATGAACAAGCAATATATTGACTTACCAACTGTTAAATATCCCGGTTCTAATAGATGATTACAATGAAAGATCCTCCAAACTTTCACACAATTCTAAATTGAGTTGCTAACTCCTTTCCTGTGTAATTCGGTCTGCACTGTAGGATGTTGCATGCATCCCATGAGATGCTCTACAAGCCAAGTTTATGCAAATTAGCCCTAAACAAACACCCCACTGGACCCTGGGCTGTTCCATGAACAAACAGGGGAACTCTGTTACATAATCTCAGAGGGAAAGGAGAACTTGTTTGTGAATACATGATTCAATTTCAATATAACATGCTTATGACGCTACATCACCGGCCCCAAAATGAGCTAACTACCAGTTACTCATTTCTCTATACATTACACATGAATGATAGCGGCATAAATCAGTCTATAAGTATGGTAAACTTCAATGCACATAATCAAACATAACCAAATAAATCATCAACATTATGGATGGAATGCATGCTAAATTACCTTAGCACGTAAATTCAAATATGAATGACTTTCATGAATAACATAAAGAAGTACAATTTGTATCGTTCAATCAATCAACAAATCAGCAATATGAAACGTTCTCTAAAATCCTACAAATCATAAGGATTTATATACTTCTAATAAACACTTGATGTCTAGATAACTCTCAATATCAGGCATATATATTGTACTTCAAATATTGGATTGGACAAACTATTGAGCAGTGTCCTTTCCTGCTTCTAGGAGACAGAGTTTAGATATTGGTCTTTTGTAGTATTTTGACCCGACTCTCACTTCTACCTGTCTGACACGTCCGTGTCTGTCAGGATATGTCGCTGTGACCTTTCCTAGTGGCCATTTACCGCGAGGCGAGCTATCATCGGCTACAAGGACCAGGTCGTCTGTCTGGAAATTCCTCTCAACTCTAGTCCATTTTTGTCTCTGTTGCAAGAGGGGGAGATATTCTTTTATCCACCTCTTCCAGAATTGGTTAGCCAAGAATTGGACTTGACGCCATCTTCTCTGTAAATAGCTGTCTTCCTTCGTAAAGGTTCCAGGTGGCAGAGAGGGATTCTTCCTCAGCAAGAGTAAGTGGTTCGGCGTCAAAGGTTCCTCGTCTCGAGGATCAAGGCTCAGTTGTGTCAAAGGTCTTGCATTTAATATTGCTTCTACCTCTGTCATCAATGTCGTGAGTGTTTCATCGTTGACCAGCTGCTGTTTGAGGAGACTTCCGAGGATTCTTCTGATAGATCTTATCATTCTCTCCCAGGCTCCTCCCATGTGACTAGCGCCTGGTGGGTTGAACTCCCATGCTATCCCCTTCTGCATAAGAAAGAGGTCAACCTTCTTTGAGTTCAGTTTGTCTAAGCCTTCCTTGAGTTCTCTGTAGGCTCCTTTGAAGTTTGTTCCATTGTCGCTCAAGATCTTTTCTGGACTGCCCCTCCTGTTGATGAACCTTCTTAGCGCATTTATGAAGGAGTCTGTTTCCAGTGAGTTGGCAACTTCGATGTGTACTGCTCTGGTAGCTAAACATGTAAATACACACCCATATCTTTTCACCTCACTCCTGCCCTGTTTGACATAGAATGGTCCAAAGAAGTCTACACCAGTGTTGGTGAACGGTGGGTGGTCTGGCGTCACTCGCTCTACTGGCAAGTCCGCCATAAACTGCCGGCCTCTTGCTGAATTCCTCTTCTTGCATTGGAAGCAGTTACCTATGACTCGTCTGACAGTGGCCCCGCCCTTGAGGATCCAGTACCTGTCCCTCAGTGCAGTCCATGTCATACCTGCTCCTGAATGGCCGACCTCTTGGTGGTAGTACATTACCAACAACTTGGTCACGTGGTGATCGTGTGGCAAGATGAGAGGGTGCTTCATCTCGTCACTGATAGGGGCCTTGGTCAGTCTCCCTCCTACTCTCAACAACCCATCCTTCATTACTGGGGTTAACTTAGAGAGGGTGCTTGCTTGTTGAAGTCTGCCGTTATTTCCCTTGTCATTCGTTGCAATTGGGAAAGCTTGCCTCTGGACGTGCTTAATGACTTCTCGCTCGGCTGCATTCAACTCCTCGAGCGTCAGGTCTCCTTTCTTCAATGAGGCTATACCTCTGCTGACTCGAAGCTTGAGGTAAGTCTTGTATCGAAGTATCCATGCGACACCTCTCTTCAGTCGTTGCCATGTTGAATACTTGGCCATGAGTCTTTCCAAGATGTCCTCGGACATTGTTGCAAACACTTGCTTCTTCTTGACTTCAGGATCGAGAAGATCCAGTGTTGCTGTATCGGTCTTCACTAGACTTGGAGGGGAGACTGGCCACTCGCATTCTTCCTTAACCAGGAAGCTTGGTCCTTGGAGCCACCTTGCTAGTTTTCCTGCAGGCATGCCCCTCGATCCGTCATCTGCAGGGTTAGCGTGAGTACTCACATGTCTCCACTGAGACCTCTCACTCATGGATTGGATCTTGGCTACCCGGTTAGCTACAAACGTCTGAAATCGCCTACTCTCGTTGGAGATGTACTGTAGAACTGATGTCGAATCTGTCCAGTACGTGGTGTTCCTTAAGGGCAACCTGAGTTCCTCCTTGATCGTCTGACCAAGCTTAACTCCCAGCGCAGCCGCTGATAATTCCAGTCTTGGAACAGACATCTTCTTGAGAGGACATAGTCTTGTCTTGCCCATCACGAATGCGCAATGTATGCGATCGTCTGTGTCTGTGACCCTCAGGTATGCGCATGCAGCATATGCTCTCTCTGAAGCATCACAGAAGATATGGAGGTCGTAGCTGGGATCAACAAACCCTGTTGGTTTGAAGCACCTGTCTATCTTTACTGATGACAACTCTGGTAGTTCTGATAGCCAGGACGTCCACCGCTGTAGCTCATCTTTCCCCACTGTCTCATCCCAGCCTAGTCCTTGGGCACAGAGATCCTGCAACAGAATCTTTGCGTTTAAGCTGAAGGGAGCCACAAATCCCAATGGGTCGTATAATGAGCTTGTTGCGGACAGGAGGCCTCTTCTGGTAGTTGGTACATCCTTAGGTGATACCTTGAACCCAAATGAGTCTGAGTTCATGTCCCACAGAACTCCAAGAGTTCTCTCGATTGGTAGGTGGTCAAAATCCAAGTCTACAACTGACGCTGCCCGTTCTGTTGAAGGCACTGCAGAGAGAACCTCTCTGTCGTTGCTGACCCACTTTGTAAGCCTGAATCCACCTCTCTTCAGGATCTCGCACAGCTGGGACACCAGTCTCTTTCCTTCCTCTCTTGAGGAGATGGACTTCAAACAGTCGTCGACGTAGAAATTCTCCAGGACTGTCTGGGAAACTTCAGGATCAAAGTCCTGCTGGTTGTCTTCTACCGTCTTGCGTAGTGCGAATCCAGCACAACTTGGAGATGATGTGGCTCCGAAAAGATGAACTAACATCTGGTATTCCTTGGGAGTCTTATCCAGGTCTCCGTTGTCCCACCATAGGAATCTCAAGGCTCCAGCATCCCTTGGTGTTACCCGGACTTGATGGAACATCCCTTCGATATCTGCTACAAGGGCTATCCTCTCTTGCCTGAATCGTAGGAGGACTCCAACCAGACTGTTCGTGAAGTCTGGTCCACTCAGGAGTTGGTCATTGAGTGACCCATTGCAGAACTTCGCCGCACAGTCAAACACGATCCTGACCTTATTTGGCTTCATTGGGTGTCTAACGGGATGGTGGGGAAGATACCAGACAACTTCATCGCCTTGTCCATTAACTTCTTGTGCGAAGCCCTTGGTAATATATCCTTCCATTGTTGTCATGTACTGGGTATGTAGTATCTTGTCGTTCCCAAGCCTCTTCTTTAGTGACTGGAGTCTTGACTCTGCCATTTTCTTGTTATTTGGAAGAGATGGGGGGTATTTCCTCCATGGCAGTCCTACTTGGTAGTGTCCATCTACCATTCCTACTGTCTCATCCATTGTCTTGCGGGCCCTCTTGTCTTCTACCGAATCAGCGAGCCGTTCGTCTCTGAAGGCATGGTCGACCTCCCAGAACCTCTGCAGCTGCTGTTCTAACCTTTCTTCATGCTTGGTGAAATTCACGCTGTATGGAGCATCGGGTGCAGAGGTCATGGTTGGTCCCATGACTGTCCATCCGAGTAAGGAACGTACCGCATAGGGTTCCTTCCTCTTTCCCCGTCGCTGATCTATCACCCAGAAGGCCTCTGGAGTATCACTTCCGATAAGGAGACGTACCTCTCCTTCATCAATTCTAGGTAGATGAACTCCCCTCAGATGTGGCCATCTGTTTAAGTCCTCGTCGGTTGGAATGCATGATTTGGATATAGGCAGTTTGTCAACTGTCCATACCTTTGGTAGATCGATGCTCTCTCCATCAGAGACGTTCTTCACCGTCAGGCTAACTTCAAGACCCTTCCTTCTCAAACCAGCCTTGTTAATGGTGGTGAGTTGGAATTCCTTGTGGGCTCCTTGGACCCCTAGCTCCTCAACAAGCCGCTCATCACAAAGGGATACGTCGCTGCCCTCGTCTAGCAGTGCCCAAGTTTCTAGCTCTTTGTTATTCCCTGCTACCTTCACTGGCACCACTCTAAGGCACACTTTGCGACGTGTTGAGAATGTGCTGTTGCACTGGCCTTGAACGTTCTCGTTGTCTTCAGCAATAGCATGATTGGTGTTGACGCTGTTACCGGCCCCACTGGAGTCTCTAGGGCCCCTAGGATTGTCTTCCTTTGAGCGATATTGTGGCTGGGTCGCCTTTTCCCAACTAGGAGGATGTAACAGGGTGTGATGCTTCCTGGTACATCCCTTCTCCTCACAATTGGATCTGTCCATGCATCCCATGGCCATGTGGTGGGGCAGGAAGCAGTTGTCACACAACCCAACTTTCCTGACGGTCTTCCTTCTTTCCTCAAAGGACTTCTCCTTAAAGATCCCGCACTCTTTCAGGTCATGTTGCCTTGTGCAACATGGGCAACCCTTAGCCGGTTGACGGTCTTGGCGAAGCGTCTTGTACTCTCCTTTACCTTGAGTAGTGAGAGTCGTTCTCCTCGTATCGGGTTTCGGCCTTCCACCAGATTTATCTACCTTCACGCTGGAAGATCTCCCAATGTTCTGCCCAAACATGTTGTTAGCAAGCTTGGCTGAATTCTCAATGAACTTGGCCATGTGTTCAAAGGAAGGAACTGTGCTGCCCTCCATCATCTGGTGTGCCTTGATCGCCCACTGGGATTGAAGATGTACCGGCAACAGCTGTTGGATATGGAGTAGATTGTCGGAACTGTTCATGTCCGCAGTATACCCCATCTGTCCCAGCACCATTTGACATCTCTGCATGTCTCTGCATAGGTCCCACATAGCAGTGCCATCGTTTGGTCGCAGGGGAGCCCGGTTTAGCACCTTCTTCATGTGTGCGGTGGCGACGACGTAAGGCTGTCCGAACTGCTCCCTCAGTATTCGTCTAGCCTCCGCGTATCCTTCACTTGGAGCCATCATTACACAGTTCTCGATGCTACTTCGAGCCTTGCCTGAGCAGTATTGGACCAGGTAGGTCAACCTTGCCCTGTCATCGGTGACCTTGTCTGCGATGTTGACCTCAAAGCTGTTGATGAAGCTCCTGTATTCTATGGGATTACCACCAAATGTGGAGAGATCGGGTTTGGGTAAATGAACAGCAAGGTTAATAGCATGAAACATTTGAGACATATTCAAATCCTGAACATTACTTTTACATGAAACATCATTAGTGGCATTTAACTTACATTCTTCCCACACTGGTGCATTAGGATTCAATCCAAATTTGTGGACAGGCTTGTTATATTCACTTACATGTACATCTAACACTTCATTCTTTACCTGAGGATCCTTTACACTATTACCCTCATCAAAGATTTCTTCTTCAATCAATCTAGCTTCTGCTTCAGCGTTCGTTATCTCATTGTCTATCTTCATTGTAGATAATTGTTCATCCAGTTTTAACTGTTCTCGTTTGAGCTCTTGAGCTCTTACTAACTGTTCTTTCTTGAGTCTCGCTAGCTCAGCTCTGACCTTGGCGTCCCTCAGTCTTGCAGAGGATGATGAACTTGTGCTGCTGCGCTTCGAAGACCTACTTCTCCTCGACGCCGATGACCTTACGGAAACCTTATCTGCCCCCGCCTCGTCTAGTTCAGTCGTCGGGGACTGCCTCTTCGTAGCCTCAGCATCCCACTCCATCATTCGCCCGTCGAACTCAGCCTTGTTGCTCTCATGCGACTCAAATTGTTCCTTCGATGTAGCCTTATCGTCCTTAGACAACCTTTTGTAGTATTCGCTGTATTTATGTTGATACAGCAAAAATGTACCCTTTAGCTGTCCATACTTCCGCCTGGCTGCGTTAAGATTGTCGTAACTTGACATCATAACTTCAAGTTCCTTGTATTGCTTTGCCAGATTTCCAACATAACCCTGGCAAGACCGTTTCAGAGCCGTGACTTCATCACGCTCCTCCTTCTGGCGGCTTATCTCCATCGAAGCTTCACGTATCTGTCCCTCTGATTGACTATAAGAAGGAGATTCACGCGCTTTCTCCGATGGCTTGTCCTTCAATGCGTCATCCATTATTGTCGCGAACTCATTCACGATGATAAAAAGTTGTAAACTGATGTAGCTTCGTTTCCGAGAAACCTTCTACAGGGTAATGATTAACGTAGTAAACGCACTAAACTGAATCATTCACACAAGACGCAGTCTCTGCAGTATAAACTAGCTCGTGCCTTTATTCAAGTCTAAACATCGACGACAGTCTCAATAAATCCAGAACAAATGTAGAAACGTGTAGTGGTAGTGATGTCGATAGTATATAGTCGCGATAGTGGATAGTGTCGTGGCAATAGTGTCGTCGATCGTACTGATAGTGTGGTTTACTGTTAAGACACAAATAAACAGTATAATATGTCAACAATAGATACATCATCATATAGTGTATATAATGCAATAATCATGCTGTTAATAATGGTTATGCTATTACATAACTCCTGATATAATCTTCTCATATTCAAGTAATGTACATCTTTGTAGAAATGCAACAAGTTCCAATGATCATTAAATCCCTCTTAATATCCCTTAGTTCAAGCTATCACTGCCAATTAAACATGCAATACATATATACAGTCTAAAGTTTTGCCTAACTGTAAGACAAAGAAACAAAGCACTAATCAGTGCAGTGCGCTTGAGTGCACAGTGCCCTAATTTGGCTGCACTCTCTGGGTCTTGCATTTACCCCTCACACACACCCTACTAAACTACATGTATATCAATCATACATGCTCTGCACACAGCTGTGTGTGTGTGCGTACACTAGAGGCTATATGCCTTGGTGAACAGAAACTTTCTAAACTCCAAACTAACTTTAACTCTTCTATATACAACTTTCCTCCTATTAATATAGCAATCAACTACTGGGTATGAAACTACAATTATTACTGTTTCAATCATATGTACAAACTCATTATAACTTGAGTAAGAATGACTTATAGAGCAACATATATTCTGGTAATATATCAGCTAACGAATACATGCTACAGTATACTAGCATTGTATTATATACAACATAATGAACCAAGAACAAAGGATTGGTACACAAGTTACTTTCTTCTTATAGGTTTGTCTCCTGTTTCTCACAATGTATGTAACCTAGATTCAGTATACAAGAATATATGAACAAGCAATATATTGACTTACCAACTGTTAAATATCCCGGTTCTAATAGATGATTACAATGAAAGATCCTCCAAACTTTCACACAATTCTAAATTGAGTTGCTAACTCCTTTCCTGTGTAATTCGGTCTGCACTGTAGGATGTTGCATGCATCCCATGAGATGCTCTACAAGCCAAGTTTATGCAAATTAGCCCTAAACAAACACCCCACTGGACCCTGGGCTGTTCCATGAACAAACAGGGGAACTCTGTTACATAATCTCAGAGGGAAAGGAGAACTTGTTTGTGAATACATGATTCAATTTCAATATAACATGCTTATGACGCTACACATGTTATGAAATCCGATCAAGAACACAAATAAATAGGAAAAAACGAAAGACTTGTGAAATTTGATGTACAAAAGGCATGGAGAGTTGTCCACAAATGATGTCATCAAATTGAATATCGCCCTCTAGTGACTAGTCATTTTAAAAAGCTTTAACTTCCTTATTCCTTGCCCGATTTTGTTCAATTTTTCACTGATTTTATTCAAATATCTTAAACTTTACAATAAAAGTAACTTACATGAAGGTTTTGGTTCCCTTTAATGAAGAACATCATATCTTGAATAGGTGTATATTTGGTACCTTTTTCCTGTATTTTTTTCCAGCAGTACATAATTACAGACCTAGACAAACACACGAACAAACACACACACACACACACAAATAGTACACACAAGAGCAACCATACTCACCACCATTGTTATTATGTTCAAAATTGGACAATTATCCCTATGAACAAGTGAGTGGACAAATATATTTCCCGGTATTTCCCTGTAAAAAGTGGTAAATACCGGTAAAAAGCGGTAAATACCGCTTATTTCCCGGCATCCGGGAAATAAGCCTCCGAAGCGGGAAATATGCCAACCCTGCTTTAAATCTAGCCATCTGATTGGTCGAAATCAGAGTCAAAATTTTAGCCATCCCAGTAAAGAAACGAACAATTGCCGGTTGCCAGGGTAACGGTCAATAGTTAATGGGAAAGATGCCTGTTGCCCAGGTAACGGGCCGCATACATGTACATGTAGTTCAATTTTGCTGAGATCACCATTGGTTAACGTGCAAAAAGTTTCTTTGTGCGAGTGCGGATAGTACCAAACTGTGCTTTGTACAATGATCTCCAACTTTCCAGCAAATATTTACAGACAGTGTCTCAGATTAACTGTGATGTTTTAACCAATGTTTACTCAAGAAATGGATAGGGCAAAAATTCTTTGTAGATTTTTTTTGTGAATCTGGAATATATAAAAAAGATATATGGACTGCTTTAATATTTGAGGCATAGCTGTTACATCCCCTTCAGTCTAGATAGAAACAGCTGTGCCTCTCATAGCAGTCAATAAAGTACATGTACATGTAGTCATGTACTGTACATGTATGTGCACATTTCGGAAAGTCCCTGTAATATACTTGTAACCACAACTGCCAGATGCCACCTCATGTTGGTCAAAAAAGAAAAAAGAAAAAAAAAAGAGCAATGCATTTGTGACCCCCTCCCCCTCCTCCATTCCCCCTCACTTTAATTCCACTGAAATGCACAACCCAAATTAAACAATCATAGCAAATGGGGTACATGTATAATTTCAAAGGGAAATAAATTGCAAAGGGAAATACATCTTTAGGTTTTAATAAGAATATCAAACAGAATGAAAATATTCTGGCATCTATTATCAATCAAACGTGAGTAGTTGAATTAGTTGAGGGGGGGGGGGGGGTAGGGCGATACCCAAGATTACAGTGTTATACATGTAGATACCGGTATTAGCATACAAGTACATTATGAGCACTTACATGTATCAAGAATTAATCCATAGAGACAAAAAAAGGACATAAATTCAGAGAAAGCGAGACATATTGTGGAAACGGTTCAATGTTCACTCAGTCTGAAGAAAGCATTATACTTCTGTACATGTACATGTAGCTCTGGGTTCAAGTGGGTTGGGTATAATGGGGGAATACACCTACAGAGTTGCACAAAGGTCAAAGTACAAATATTCTGCACGAGTTGTATGCAGTTCAAAGATTGGGCGTGGACCATACATGTACATGATATGAATGTGTTATGACAATTTTGCAGTCTACTATCCTTCTGTGCCATAACAAGAACAAAATTAATATAAACTATCTTTGAAGTCTTCAAGAGAGATATTTTTCATACATTACTTATCTATGAATTTATGAATTTTGGTTCACAGTATCTTTCAGAAGCATATAAACTCCATGATATATTATTTACTTAATTTATGTTCAAAGAAGAAAAAAATAGCCATGCTGGCTACATGTAAGTCCAGATACATTAACTTCTTGGAAGAAATTTGCGGCATAAATGGCATGATTATTTCAATATTGTTGCTCATGCCTGATTTGTACTCTTGAAAGAGATTAGAACAGTAAATGCGTACATGTAATTTGAATTCTCATAACATATCACCTGTAGGCATTATGTTTGTAAATAAGATACAACTGTTTTGGGGTAGACAAAATCACTAGAATAAAGAGCAATAATAGCAGATCTGAGTCTGACGTTTGTATAATCCTTACAAACACTCTGCACAGATTATCTTGTGTGTGTGTACATGCAGTGTCAACTACAGGAATGGCAGCTTTCTAAAACCCTCTTGATCGATAAACTTCATCGTTTATGGCACTTCTATTTGGGCTGTCAACACACATTTTAGAAACAGGACGCAGGTTATGAATCATAAGGTTACAGAGTGGTCTCTTGCACTCACACTGTACGGCCTACATGTTCATTCAAAGGCATGTACATACATGTACATGTATGTACAATACATGTATTAAGCAATGCAGTAATCAACCTAACACAGGGTTTTTAACGCACTTCCCCTGTGCCTGTGGTAAAAAGCATCATGATTTGTTTTGTTGTGGGCTGTATTATTCCCCTGTAACCAGGGTAGACTTGTTGCCAGGTTTCAGAACATCAGATTTCCCCCCTGCAATGACACTCCTACTTTTCAGGAAGTATGCCCAAATCTGGCCATCTTTCTCCTCCTGAGACTCTGTAAGAGATCTACTAATCATGTACTGAACAAAATGCCATAAAATATCAACAGCCAAGAGCAAAAAAGTATGTCTGTTCCCTCAGTGGAACATTTTGGAACAGAATGTCTTGCTTGATGCATTGCAAGCAGTATAATAACGTTAACAATTAACATTCTCTTTTAATGTGTATGTTACCCCGGGCCTTGGTTACACAGTCAAATAAATCAATGCAATGTATTGAATAATTGATGATATCATTAGTAACTTATTTCTTTCTCAAAATTCATTTTATTTCAGTTCTGTTAATCACACTTCGGTTAAATTTTACATGAAAAATATATAATTAGTGATACATGGTTTATGTAACTATTCTCAGCTGACTATTAAACATGACATCCAGATACATGCAAGTAAATATTGTGTCATCTTATTCCATAGACTTCAGCAGCCTTTTCCGATAATACAATGGCCTTGACAGACCACAAAGTAAATGTATTATGTGTGTAAACTTACATTTAAACTATAAAATAAATCCATTTTGGCATGAATGAAAATAATTTCCATTGTTCCTTACTTCCTTCCCGTCACTTTTCTCCTTACTGATTCCGGTTTCTTTCCTAAAAGCTCTCACAGTTATCCTGTTTTTTCCTTCAATACTATACTTGTAAAATAAACAATAACATTGTTTCGATTTGCTATTAAACCTTTTACAGAGAGTACTGCAAAGGCAACCTCAAGGAACTGAAAGCCATTACAGGAATGTACATTGTAGATGCGTGAGCACACTAAAATAGCCTGGTCTTGCGGCTGCATATGAAGCTGTGGTATATAAATGTAAATGATGCATGATCGGAACAGGGTAGTAACAAGATGTGCTGAATTATTAATGTGTGTGATAAGATATCATCTTTCAACTAAAAATGCATGGCTGCTGATCACCTCAATATGACCTGAACTTTGACCCATTTCAACATTGCACAGCACAATTTACCCTAATTTATTTATCTTACACTTAAAGGTATAGTTGAGTATTGGTAATTTCCAAAGTGCCCCTCCAAAACAAATTTGGTTTATTTCAGTACCATATGAAAGATCATCGAAAAAAACATGGGAGATGATAATAATTCCAAATCAAATGCTCTAATTGTTGTGCAATTTGCTTTCAAAACATTATATAAAAGTGTTTGACGTCCGGACATCACTTTTGACTTTCGACGGTTTATTTTTTGAATTTACGTGTTTAGCTCCCTCTATGTCATTTAACAACCAGCGTATTTACAACGAGTGTTTGAGTTCGTTGGTACGTACGTACAGTACTACAGGTAGCTAGCAGGCGGGTATCCGACCGCGCGCTAGTATGCAGTACAGCTGATCAATTCCAATACGCTGCTTTCACGTAAAGTATAACACACACAGCTCATATCAGATTATCACCGGCGCCGATCGAACGCTAAATAGACAGCTACAGTCCAGACAAGCTTTGATTGAAATACGATAACGAGATCGAGATTGGAAAAGGAGCTCGATGTCACGGACGATGGCCGACTCGGACTCAGCTAGTGCTAAGCCTAAGGACAAGGCTAAGGCTACGCTAAATCGGAATAAGACTAAGTAAGACGGTAAGAGGAAGGAGAGAAACAAGCAATGGCAGCTCGACCATCCGGCCCAGAGGAGGCGCGGGAGTGGCTGTGAACAAGGCCAGGCCAGGGTACGGCGGAGAAACTTCGCGAGCTGCAGGCGGCCTTCTCGTTGCCGAGTCTAGAGCCTTAGAGGATGCAATAGACATGCCAGCTCACTGAGAGGTAAGTTGAAATGATATACGCCCCACTGCATTGGGTAGGCCTACCGTTTTAATTTGATCTAGATCTAGTCTAGAGACTAGATGCATGGAATCGGCAAATTTAAGAAATTACGTTTTGTTATCTCTTGCCTTGGATTTTTAATTCAGATTTCATGAATCATATGATATTGATAGTCTAGCCTAGGTCTACAGTAGACCAAAAGCTTCAGTCTCTATATCGTCGGTTGTTCCACTGAGACTACGTCTGGCTCCACTAGACCTCCGGATGAATTTGGTTCAAATGAAAATATTGGAAGCATATGCGATCCTACAATATTCAGTGAATGTTGTCGCGTTGAAATCGAGTCTAAAGTGATGAAATTGTAAATAATAATCTCTTTATGGGGTATACTATAACTCTCTCTCAAGGTCAATATATTAATTCAGCTATACAACAAGCTACAATTGACCGATTGGCTATTACCTTTTTGAAATTATAT